CCAAAAAGAAAGAGTGGGTTTCAAGGTAAGGAACAACACAATCTCTCCTTGAGACAAGGAATTTCTCTTTTTTCAATGCCAGCTTTGGGTTTCCCTTTTTCCTCCATTGTTTTTGTCAAAGACACAAAATGCATGTGGACATATCGCGATGATCTTGAATGGGTTGCAGAAGATATAAATATATATATATATACTCAACTGTCTTTGACAAGCAATACCAAATGTTCAGTGCATGTTAATATTCTTTACGTGTTATTTGACTTCAAGAAATGATTAATTTAATTTGGATTCAACTTCGAGTTGGCTCAATAAAATTTTCAGTTTGGTACAAAGTGGTACAAAGACTGGGTAAGTACTTAATACTCTCTTTTTGTGCTCATTTTGGTCTGCCTGCAAAGTTTTATAATGTGTACATGATAAGGGAAGTGGATGTAAGATGAGATTAAAACTCCCATGCTAGTTCTTCTTTTGGGGACTTATGATGAGATTTGAAAATCTACATAGAGGAATTAATTGAAATTAATTGATCAAATTTTAAAGCCTAAATATCATTTTTAAATTCCACCTGGCCAACGAGGTTTAGCCCAATAAAAAAACGTATTGACTTGTAGACCAGAGGTTTTAGATTCGAATCCTCACGACATCATAGTTGTGTGTGTATGTAAGAAATCCCCCTCCCTCTAATTTAGACTATAAGTTCGCACATTAGAGCTCGAGAATGTATATAAGATTGCATTATTATGTTAGATAATGTATTCATGTACATATTTTTCACGAAGTGGGAAAATAAAACTCTTGACTAACATGGATATGCTTGTTCTCATGTATTGGAAATGCATTCTATTGCATTTTTTTTAACCAACTAATTCATATTATAAACTAAAATACTTTTTTATCCTTGAAAACTCCTAGTATATTGTTTATGAGGGTACTACTAAAACACTCAAAAAACTTTGATTCCTAATACAATACAAAAGGAATGAGAATATAGTGTAGCACTCATAGTGTAGTTCGCATATTCCCTACAAACATGGTTGGCCATGAAGTGGCGAGATTGATTTATTTCTTTTTTCGAAGTTATAAAAATTTCTCCACAAAATGTTGAAGAAGTGCAGGCCTGGGGGGATCGGAAAGGAAGAGGAAAAACAAATCAAAATAACTCACAGCTAGCCGTACGTATTTAAGTGGTTTAGGATACTGAGGTGGATTGCTGACCTAACACCCCGTGTTAGGTAAGTTTTTCTCATGAAATGGCCCAATGTCCCGTGACCAATGAGACACCATTATCACATCAAATCACTGGACCAGGCGTGTTCTTTATGTATGGAAGATTTCAGTTTGTTCCAACAACGAAAAGAAGTGGTCTAGTTAGATCATGTGAGATTCCTGGTTTAAATTTCAAACACGAAAGCCAAAATATCAACACCTACCCTGCCTAGAAATGAACATATAACTTTAATTACGTTCTCATGAAACTCATTATGCAAACCAAATAGGCCCCACGTCAGCTAAAAAAACCAGACAGAACCCTAATAGCCATGGCCCATGCAATAACTGTATTTGAATCACCAGCTAACTATAACACGCATGTAGGGAATAGAGAATGTAAAATACAGTATTAAAACAGATGAAATACAGCCACAGTCCACGTGCCGATGTGGGAGAAGGAAAGCAGGCAGGAAGCTGCGTTAAAAGTAGTGGTCCAGGTTCCGGAGGTGGAACAGAGGAATCTGAGCGACGTGGGATGGCGAAAGATCCGGCGACCCTTCTGCTGCATGCTTTGCTCATCCAATCTTCTCATCTTCTAATCTTCCAATCTTCTTCTATTTCTATTCACTTCTGCCAGCTAACAATCCCAATACAAATTAATTATTAGTATGCAAGTTCATATACATCTCCAGAATATTAATTAATTTGTTCACTTTTCTTGTTCCCATGAGCAGTATAATTAAGACTTGCTAGCTGCTTTCAGTGTCACACATTTTAATAATTCAGTTTAGTTTAAATAATAATAATGCAATCGAACCCATAACCAATAATATAATAATAACCAACTAGTGTAGTGGTTTAGAACAATTGTTTCCCGAGGAAAGGTCCTGGGTTCAGTCTTGGCATCTATGTAGTGTGTGTGAGTTTAATATATTATCACTTCTATCAATAAGAAAGGTCTTCAAAAGTTTTTTTAATATAATATTAACAATATTTATATAATAATCGTTTCAGTCTGGATCCCTACAAATAGGGCTTCTACCTATGTGTCATTCTGCATATGCATGCCTAGGTAATTAACTACTTGAGCTAGTTCAATTTAGCTTATAGAAATTTCAAGCTCATTTTATTTTTCTTTCTCAATGGCTCTAGCCAAGGATATGAGAATGCCTCATGACTCATGCACTCATGAGTCTCCTCAAGTTTCATCTGATCTTTCTAATGGTTTTGTGTTTAGGGCCACATCTAATTACCATCAACCTGATCATCAGGTAGCCCACTCAGTCATAAACTTCAAAAGTAGTGGGTACAATAGTTTCTTCCAGAACAGTGAATCTTTGCTTAGTTTTGAGAAAAACAGTAAGCAGAACATTTTGAAGACTAGAAATGACAAAGATGAGCACTTCAATTGTGATGATGATTTGCATCATGGTAACTACCAGTGGAACCACACGGCTAGCGTCAGCGATCCGCGGCTTTTGGGGGATTTCAATTGTTTTCAGACAACAAGCAATTACAGCTCCATGCCCAACACCTCAAAAGATGACCATGGAGATGAGGCTTATGGGTGGTTATACTCTGAAGCCACTGTAGTTGCAGATGGCTTCCAGGAACCCGAATCACAAGAAGGCTTCCACAAGCGTCCGCATACGGTTAGCACTCCCTTTTCTTCTCCTAATTTGTTCAGCAAATTATTAGACAATTTAGCTCTTGTATGTCATGTTGTATAACTGCCAATCTCCGTTATAGATCAATCTTTTATATATATATATATATATATTTTTTTAAAGTTAGTACCAAATCTATATCACGGTCTTGATATAGAAGGAATTTGTTCACAGGGAGAGGCCATGCAACCTTTAAAGAAGCAATGCACTAATAGTGGTACTAAGAAGCCCAAACCCAAGTCATCAAGTCCCACAAAGGACCCCCAAAGTATTGCAGCCAAGGTTTGCTTCAGTTTCACTTTAACAGAATGATCAGATTCTGATACATATATTATATTTGGTTGGTTGCAACTCAAGTATAATCTTTAAAATGGGATTTAATAGTGAAAGAATGTTTGTCTTCCAGAATCGTAGAGAGCGGATTAGCGAACGCCTTAAGATACTACAAGAATTGGTGCCGAATGGCTGCAAGGTTGGACTAAATTTCTTAACATGTATGACATAAGGCCATCAATGATATATATGTAATTCTTAGCATTGTGTTAATTATGCAGGTTGATTTGGTAACCATGCTAGAGAAAGCCATTAGTTATGTCAAGTTTCTTCAATTGCAAGTCAAGGTGTGACATCAACATTTCTCTTTTAATTTTTTTTTGTTTTCTATTGTCTTTAAATTACATACCAGAGGCTTATATCGTGAGATCTGAATTCAGGTGTTGGCGACCGATGAATTTTGGCCGGTTCAAGGTGGGAAAGCTCCCGATATTTCTCAAGTTAAGGAAGCCATTGATGCCATCCTCTCATCTCAGAGAGACACTAGTTCAAGCTCAAAGTAAAGGGCTTGAAAAGGAGGCATTAGAAGAATAATTAAAAAAAAAGTTAGAGTAATTACTGCGTAGGCAAAGGAAAAGCTTTGTCATACATGGAAGTTGGCAATGAATTAATAACATTTGTTTTCATTTTTGGTTATACCCATGCGATCCAATTATGCTTCTATGATCTTATACGTAATGGAGATTGAGATTGCAATCTAATTACATATGCTATTTATAGAGCCAAAAAGCTTATATGTAATGGAAATAACACCATTTTGCTATACACCATCAATAAACAGAATGAGATATGAAAAAATTATTCTATATATCATTACATTATTGACACAAAAAATATTATCCCCGTTACATAGGAGTTTCTCTTGCAAGACTCCAGTTTGTTTCAATTTTGATCAAACACTTTGATCTACAAAATCTAACAATTCGTGCTTCTCGTGAAACAAAAAATTTTGGCTTTTCTACGAAGTACAGATGTTTGGTAACGTTTTTCCCCAAGGCGGAAACCCCTAGAAATTTCACATGACCTAAGGGACAAGGATCACTAGAGCCCAAAGGAAAGAACACCAAAGTCCTATGAGTGGACCATGAGTAGGGTCATGATTAAGAAAGGAGGACCAGGAGGGCCCATTCAAGCCCAAATAAAAGAACACTAAAATCTCATGGGAAGTCTTATGGTCAACCAAGCCCATAGGGTAATTTTGTGATGCGACACTTTTTTGGGAACCTCTTTCTCTGCTTGCGAATACTGTGCTTATGTCTTGGCTCATTATACACAGAACACTTGTCCTTTTTTTCATGCTCCTTATAAAACAACACACAATCATTTAGACATGCATAAATGTTTTCAAACCCAAATTCAAGACCTCTCAACATCTTCTTGTATGCCTTATAATTTATAAGAATCTGAAAAATAATTAGGTTTAGGAAGCATCTACCTCTTGATTGTTAGAAAACTAAACCAAATATGCATTATTATTGCATTCAAAAAGTTTCAATAGGCTATTATGTTGAGTCTTTTCTTATTTTTTTTATTTAATAAGTTCATATATTAATGAATTGAATAAATTGTCAATTTCATGTATTAGGAGGTTGATAAAGAGTCTAAGATATGAGTGTGGGTTAAAAAGTTATGATAAGAGAAGTCTTTAAATAGGTCTTTTATCATCGTTATTTGATGAACAAAATTATAATGAAAGAGCCTATTCTCCTAAGAAATTAGTGTCCATTTGTACCGTTTTATTTCTCTTCCTCCTACAAATTGGCATCAGAGCCTAGTTGAAGTACTTTCAATATGTCAAATGCAAAATCAAGCAATGGGCACAATTTTGTTTCATTTATTCCTCAATTCAACGATGATAATTACGATTATTGGAGCAACAATGTGAAGGTGCTACTAAAAGCCGTGGAGTTGTGGAATATGGTTGAAGACTATTATGAGGAGCCTGAACATAAACATGCGCTCACTCAAGAACAAAGAATTGCATTGAAGAAAAATCGAAAGAAGGATAGCAAGACCCTTTCCACATCTATCAAACAGTTGAGATGATAGTGTATGAGAGAATTTCCAAAGCTGCAAATGCAAAGGAAGTATGGGAGAAAGTTCAGACGACCTATCAAGGCAAACAAAGTGCGAAGAAGATTCAACTCCAGAATTTGAGAAGTTGGAGATGTAAGAAAGTGAAAGCATTGAAAAGTATTTCACAAAGGTTACAACAATTGTTAATACAATGTCGTCAAATGGGGAGATTTTGAAATATGCAAGAATTGTTGAAGAAGTTCTTCGTAGTTTACTACCGAAATTTGATTATGTTGTGGCTGTCATTGAATAGTCAAATGATATTTCTGCTCTTTCCATAGAAGTTTGCAAGAAAAATTGGAGGCCCATGAAATCAAAATAAATTTGAGGAATCCTCCTCCCACACAATCTGATCAGGCTCTAAAGACCCAAGTTACATCTACGGGAGGCAATCGAAATCAAGCTACTGGTTCTAGTCAAGGTTGTGGTCGCAGTTGCGGTCAAGGTGGTAGAGGGGAAAGAGGAAGAGGAAGAAATTGTTATTTTCAAAGTGGAAGAGTCTCGTCAAACAATTCAAGTGAAGGTGAGAAAAATTCCAGTTCGTCGTCATCATATAGAGGAAGAGAAAATGGCTTTCAAAAAAGGAAGAGAACGTGGTTATTTCAAGTGTTATTAATGCGACAAGCCTGGGCACATAATGAGAGAGTGTCAGTTCAAGCAAGAAGATGAAAAACAAAATGGGGCAGTTGGATTTACGCATGAAAGCAAGGTTGGTGATGGAGAGTCTAAAGAAACTTTATTGCTCGCATGTCATAGAGATAGTATGGGTGATGTGTGGTATCTAGACAGCGAAACTAGCAAGCATATGACTGATAACAAATTTTTTTTTCATATCTCTGAAATTAATCGTGGACAAATTGTCAAACAAAGTAGGGTAAATATTCAGATATGCTCATATCTTTATTCTTCTCCAATATAGAGATATTTATAAAGAAGTACAATCCTAAATAAAATAGGAAATAAATCCAAATTAGAATAGAAAATAAATATAAATGACAATAGGAAATAAATCTCAATTATAATAGAAAATAAATATAAATTACAATAGGAAATAAAGCTCAATTATAATAAGACTAGATAAATAGGTAAGTAACCAAAATCCTAACTAAGTAAGGACTCGTCAGCACTCCCCCTCAAGTTGGGGCAAAGATATTTCACATGTCCAACTTGACAAGTGAGTCATAAAACACCATACTCGACATTAACTAATCGAACAACTATAGAGAAGACCTTGTCATAAACCACTAGTGAAACAACTAACAAACCGTAACAAATATGGCACATAAAAGAATACATAAAAGTAGAACACAAAAACCTTATGGGCACAATAGTAGGTAAGGCAAAATACAAAAACCCTATGAGCACACCAATAGGTAAGGTAGAATACAGAAACTCTATGAGCACGACAATAAATAAAGTAGAACACAGAAACCCTATTAACAAAGCAAATACAAGGCAAAACCAAACCCTAAAAATAGGGTAAGGCAACGCAAAGGCAAGGCAAATCAAGGCACGACAAAGGCAAAACCAAACCCTAAAAAATAGGGTAAGACAAGGCAAGGGCAAGACAAGGCAAATCAAGGCAATGCAAGGCAAGGACGCAAGGACGCAAGGGCAAATAAAGGCAAGGTCAATGGAAGAAAAACGACAACGGAAAACGAAGCAAGCAAAGACAAGGGCAAAGGCAACATCAATGGCAGCAAAAACGACAACGACAACATCAGCAGAAAAATGGCAACAAATCCTTTTATATCAACTTTAGCTAATTCATGTAGATACAACTTCTCTTCACTCCCTCTTTCCCCCTGAAAAGAAGGGGTTGTCGGAGTCAAGAAAAAGGCAATATCGCCATGGGAAAGAGAAACATATATTTTTTTTCACTCCCCCTCCCCCCTTGAAGAGGAGGGGAGGAGAGCACTAAAATTGCAAAGAGAACTCAGGCATAGGTCACAAGAAAACCTGGCTTTGATACCATGTCAAACAAAGTTGGGCAAATATTTAGATATGCTCATATATGCTCATGTCTTTATTCTTCTCCAATATGGAGGTATTTATAAAGAAGTACAACCCTAAATAAAATAGGAAATAAACCCAAATTAGAATAGAAAATAAATATAAATTACAATAGAATAAATCTCAATTATAATAGGACTAGATAAATGGGTAAGTAACCAAAATCCTAACTAAGTAAGGACTCGCCAACATAGGTAACAATCGGCGATGCTAGAGCCTATAAAATTAAGGGAGTGAACGGAGTCTCTTTTAAATCCAAATCTAGAAAAATATAGAAGATAATCCGTAACAATAATAACATTTGTCAATATGCCACCGCCTGTTTACTAAGATCATCATAGATTATTAATGTGGGTATTCCATTATCGAGGAAATATTCCCCCATGGCACATCCATAATATGAGGCAAAAAATTGCAGAGGAGTTGAATCAAAAGCAGTGGCCACTCGCCTTAGCATAGCCTTTCCAGCAAGAACATCCACAATTGATCCAATGTGGTTGACAAGACCTCCTTTAATAGCAGTATCACTACCAAAGACAATCCCTACATGCTTATTCTCAAGATTCAACGCTATTCCTTTCACACTACTCGCAACTTCACATTTCCCTAGCTTGAATCTCGTTCAATCCATGAACACGTGCAATCCCATCTCCAATTCAGACCACTCGACCGATCTCATCCACTTTTAAATTCGTGTAAAAGTTGGTAATTCTACTTTCTAATAGAGTCATTAGTTTCGTAGCTCTGGGAGAGAATTCCATAATTCAATTAAAGATCAAGTCAAGGGAGAATTCCGCGTATAGTTTTTAGCTCACAATAAAGCTAGGGTCCCGATCGAGCAACTAGTAGTCTTACCTATCCCCCTCTTGAGAGACAATATATTGTGAAAGAGCTTACTTAGAAAGAAGAATTATATATCTTCACGAGGTATTGCAAAACATGTAAGTCCTTGTAAAGTCAATATACTTCAATTGTCAAATCAGATCAACTATGACATAGATTAAAAAAAATTGGGTCGAACTCTTCTTTGATGTCAAGGTAATAGCTATAGACATAAAAACATAGGGCATGTTTGGTATTCTATTTGAATCCAAATTTTTAAATTTAAAAATAGAATTTGAGTCAAACTCAAAAGATCCATTTGGTAGGCCTAGTTTTGAAAACCTAAACTAAAAAAAAAAACATACTTGAAAACCGAAAAAATGAGTTTTTAAAGATTTTTTTTTTCTCTTTAAGTTGCATACCAAACAAGTTTTTGAATATGAAAACATATGTATTTTAGGACTGTTTGTTTTTAAGAAAAATCAAAGTTTTTGAGTTCCCTATTTGAGTATGATACCAAACAAGTTTTAATCTTAAAACCCTAATTTAGTTGCAAGGCAACAATAGAAATACACATTAAAAAATATGCACACTTTCAATTCTGTTGTTGAAAATATTTTGATTTTTATAATGTGTTTTTTGGTTGCATTTAATATGTATTTGTTTTATATTAAAGCTTATTGGAAATTAGTCCATAGAGTTATGAACTAGCATGGTTTAAATGATTTAATGTATACTTTTATATCTAGAAAGACTATAGAAACTGTAGTACAAAAAAAAATTGATCATTAGATTTTAAGTTGTGTCAAAGATATAAAGCGAGTGCATAAGAAAAGAACGGGAACTACGTTGATCTATTCTATGGCATACCATATGAAGCATAATAGAACACTCACCGATCTTTGCCGAAAGATAAGAGCATTCGGTGGAACCGACGAACAATTTTAGCCAGCCAACCCATTGAAAAATTCATGGTTTCGCCCTTGTCTTCCATAACTTATTTTTTCCTTTTTGTTCTATATAAAGGCGAAACTCTCCTAAAGAGACTAAGAACAACCAACATGTCAACTAAGTTTCTGGACTTATGAGAGGAAAAACATAGAAAACTCATAGAGTTTATGAACTTTATTGACAAAAACAGACCAAGACTAAAAATCTAAAACAACTCTGACGAAAGAAAAGCATATGCCGCTAATAATTCTATGAGACATGATATAGATGGTGACACCTAGTCACTCCACGACCTCAACACGCCAATCAATAGTAGATCTACCATGACCAAGCATCAGCACTTGAAAAAGCAGCCCTGCTAGATGAGGCACATTTAAAACTAGCCTATATTCGTGATAGAGACAGTAAATTTACCAAAAGAAGAGCATATCGACATAGATCTGCAAAAAATTGGAGAACACTGCCGGATCTGAAGCAAGCTCTCTCTCTCTCTCTCTCCGTCGGCTAGTCTTCCAAAACAATTGTTGTAAATATCTGATAATTAAAGAGTTTATTATTATTTGATTAATTCAATTGACACGAACAATCCTGGTTCAAATCATAAACGAACACGTGGCCGAACGAGCAAAACAATATCATCCTGAAACAACTTTCTTAATTACAAGTATTGTGACTCAAATGGCCATTTGCCAATAGAAACAAGACACAAGGCAAAAGCTAGTGAGCTCCCAGCAAAATATTTAAACCAAAAAAAAGAAAAAAAGTAGACAAATCTTCAAAAGACAAGCCAACGGACAAGGACTGCTCATGTCTTAAATAAAAGTTTCGAACTGTTGCTTAACGCCAACTCTCTGTCTCTGTCGCTCTCTCTCTCTTTGAGGCTCGCTGAGCTTCTCAGCCTCTAAATCCCCAACTCAGATATTTCCTCTCTCTCTCTCTCTCTCTCTCTCTCTCTCTCTCTCTCTGTTTTTGCCTAACTCCACCACCAAACTAAATTATACCCATTTCTTCACCTCTTCTCTTTTCTTCTTACAATTCAATGGATTCCCGCTCTTCATCCGACGGTCTGAATTCAACTCCAGACTCATCGTCCTCCCCCACTTCCTCACCATCCTCAGCCGTCCAACGCGCTCTGCAACTTATCCAATCCGACAACCAGGATTCCAAGCTCCAGGGCGCCCAGGAAATCCGCCGCCTCACCAAGACCTCGCACAGGTGTCGGCGCCAGCTGTCGGCCTCGGTGGGCCCGCTCGTGGCCATGCTCCGAGTCCCTGACTCGACTGAGTCTCACGAGTCCGCCCTCCTCGCTCTCCTCAATCTCGCCGTCAAGGATGAGACGTACGTAAAACATTCCCCACCCAACTCTTTTTTTTTCTTTTGAATTTTATTTAATTAAAAGTCTTTTCTTTTTGTTCGAATTTGTTGGAGACTAATAAATCTCTTGGAATTTGTGAATTGATTTTTTTGGGAGTTCTGGAATTTTCTTCCTCGGATTCCTCAATCCAGGAAGAAAAATATTTGAATTTAGTATTAAATAATAGGGGTCGCACAGGATCTTATTCGGGGGATTCTCTTTTTTTCTCTTCTTTCTTTTTCTCTCTTTTCTTTTCCACTTTACTTTTTCTTTTATCTGATTGGTAGCCGAGAAAATTATGGGGGAAACAATTTGCTAAAGTTGTGGGTCAGATTTTGTTTTCTTATCATCAAACGTTTTGGACTTGTCAAAATAAATTTGTTCATGTAATGAGAGAGACCAAATAAGGGCAAATTTGAAACTGGTTATATTGGTTCAAGAAAGAAAGAAAGGAAATTTGATATTGGTCTAAATTTCTTAGTAAATTTTGATATTAAAAGGAATATGTATATATACAGATTTTCTTCTATGCGAATGTTCTGTTTACAATGATGTTAATAACGACCGAATTTCCGCATAAAAGAAGAACTGTATGTATTGGGTCTTCTATGACTAGAGAAAATAAACTGTCGGTTGTCTCTAAAGACTAAAATGAAATCCACTATGTGATTAAAGATAATTATATCTTTAATTAGTAGCAACCAAAAAGGTGCACTATGAGGAAGTGAAAGGCAAACAGGAAGCCATCAAAGAACAAACTCGTAGACATTAAGAAAACAAAAGGAGGGCTTGCTTTATGATAGACTTGTTTTGAAAGGAATTGGATGCTTTATGGTTCGAGGAGCCAACGAAGATTCGAGGGGTGGTTGTTCTTTTTCTTTGGTTCTTACTCTATCGTTTTTTTTTCCTTTTTCTTTTATATCTTCTTCCTGAAGGTATCATATTTTATAATAAAGGGTTTTTTGTTTGGTGAGGAAGAAATATAATTTTCTATACCTTCTAGAATAAGAAAGAACAAAGGAGTTCACTATTTTGTAAATCTTAGTTTTTCATCTGCTGATTTTGTTTCTTTGAATTTGATCTGACAGGAATAAAATTAAGATTGTGGAAGCTGGTGCTTTAGAACCAATAATTTCTTTCCTTGAGTCACAAAGTTCCAACCTGCAGGAGTATGCAGCTGCATCTCTACTCACTCTATCGGCTTCTGCGGTCAACAAGCCAATCATAGGTTCTTCTGGTGCCATTCCTCTTCTGGTGGAAACCCTTAGACATGGAAGCCCACAAGCCAAAGTTGATTCAGTAATGGCTCTTTCCAATCTCTCAACACACCCAAGTAACCTTACCATCATTCTTGAAGCAAAACCAGTCCCTTCTATAGTCACTTTATTAAAACCCTGCAAGAAATCTTCAAAGACGGCCGAAAAATGCTGTGCTCTGATAGAGTCTCTGGTGGGATTTGATGAGGGCAGAACTGCATTGACATCTGAAGAAGGTGGAGTGCTTGCAGTGATTGAGGTGCTCGAAAATGGATCGCTGCAAAGTCGGGAGCACGCAGTTGGTGCTCTGCTAACAATGTGCCAAAGTGACAGATGCAGATATAGAGAAGCAATTCTGAAAGATGGTGTGATCCCTGGACTTCTCGAGCTCACAGTTCAAGGAACACCAAAGTCTCAGACAAAAGCACACACGCTTTTGCACTTATTGAGGGACTCCCCCTATCCAAGATCAGAGCTTCAAGCAGACACACTGGAGAACATTGTATGCAACATTATCTCCCAGATTGACGGTGATGATCAGTCCGGTAAGGCGAAGAAAATGCTGGCCGAGATGGTTCAAGTTAGCATGGAGCAGAGCCTGAGACATTTGCAGCAAAGGGCTCTGGTATGCACACCAACTGATCTGCCTATCAGTACTTGCACCTCTGAAGTGTCTTTGAAATGACTTGTTTTGGTTTAACTAGCTTTGTCTTTTTTACACGGCCTCCTGTGAGATAAAATTTCCATGGTGTACCAGAAAAAGGGAAAAAAAAACGAATGATTTAGTAAAAGTTATGCCAGTCCAGGCCTTTGTTGTGATGCCGAGTGACTGGTAAGTGTTAATAAACTGAAAAATGTATGAGGCTGATAGATAGAAAATGTCTTTATTAGCTGGTTTGTAAAGCAAATGTTGTATTTTTATATATAATAATTTAGTGAAAGCAACACTATCTCCATCAATTTCTGTCACTGTCAGATGTTGATTTCAATTCATTGTTGAATTTAGAATCATACAGAAAAGAGCGGAAGACTTTGCTTGCAATGCAATCTGGAGCTGGATCTTCCCTTTATTAGACTTATTTTATTCATTCCTACATCTTCTACCGGTTTTGATGATTGATTCAAATCCCCTTTTTCTGTGAAGCTAATTATCCGCTTTCGAAGTCTGCAAAATCTCCTTAATTATCTCTTTTAGTGCCTCCGAGTATATCCAAAAACCAACTGACTAATGATAATGCAACGCTTAACAAAATTTCAACCTAAATAGCAACCATTCTTTCTTTAACAATTTTCTAAGAGCCAACCAGCATCAGTCCTTGCTTTTGCTAACAATGGCATTGGCGACAGAAGAATCTGATGGAATTGAAGAAGAAATTTCAAAGATAGAAAAAGGTCTTGTAAGCACCTCTCATAACCCAGGAACCAACACAACCGATGATTTTCGTTCATCAGCTGCACCGCCAAGCCTCCCTCAAAAGGTAATAGTCGTGACTCGTGGCAGTGCTATTAGACGCCGATAGTTTTTTTTTCTTCTTTTAATACAAGCAAGAGTCTAAACTACAACAGGAGAAGTTTCTCACACATTATCAAGGTCTCAGAACTATTGTGTCTAATTTTTCGATCGATTTTTGATCGTCAGTTGATTGCAGAGTTGATTGGTACATACTTTGTGATATTTGCTGGGTGTGGTTCGGTGGCTGTGAACAAAATATATGGGAACGTCACGTTTCCTGGCGTATGTGTAACATGGGGTCTCATTGTCATGGCCATGATATATTCAGTCGGTCATATTTCTGGGGCACATTTCAATCCGGCCGTCACCATCACCTTTGCCGTCCTTCGCCGGTTCTCTTTCCGGGAGGTTAATTATTAATTAGTCTGTTTAATTATCTTTTCTTGTTTAACCATTTTTTCGTAATTATATACTTTTAAGCCTCATGTTTATAGTTAAAGAACCGACTTCCTTAATTAGTAGTGCTGTATATAAACAAGGTTGTAGCTAGCCAACTTCTTTAATTAATAGTATTGTAAATAAACACGGTTGTAGCTGTTAGATTGAGGAATTCACTCTTATCTACTAGATTTACTAAAATATAAATTAATCACAATCCAATAGATTGTGTTCTCATATACACCGGGCGAATTCATCTTGAAAAAAGATGTACTGTCAATCGTATCAATTAAAATCACATTACTTAAAAAAGCGAAAGATGTTGATTTTTTTCTTTTATCCGGTTACAAGATGTTGAACTTTATTTTTTTTTTCAGTCAAACTCAAATGTAGATTTCATTATCAATACTCGCACACATACAATATTGTGAGAATGGGGATATTGAACCTAGGATTTACAGACCCTTGCAATACTCACACAAAAGCGATAAATATTCTTAATCACTCAAGTTACAACCTCCTTGCAAGTGTAATGTCATTTCTCGGGTGCTATTAAGTTTGTACTGATATTTACACTAATGTATTTGCACAGGTCCCATTATATATAGTAGCTCAACTATTGGGATCAACCATGGCTAGCGGTACAATTGCTGTACTTCTTGATGTAACCCCAAAAGCTTACTTTGGAACTGTTCCAGTTGGATCTAACGGCCAGTCCTTGGTCTTTGAAATTATCATCTCCTTCCTCTTGATGTTTGTCATCTCTGGAGCTTCCACAGATAGTAGAGCGGTAAATATATACGGGCTTTGGATTTACATTTTTAATTCCAATTCTTCTAATATAAAAATAAATAAATAAAGTTAAATTATTTCAAGTTTTTTTTTTTTTTCTTTTTTTCTGATTGGTGATCTAGCTGGGGTTGCCGTTGGAATGACAATACTATTAAATGTCTTCATTGCTGGGTAATTCTTCCTTCCTTTCTTGTTCATGATTTCTCTCATCTTCCTTTCTTCCTATGAAACATATTATTATAGGTTTTAGGTACAAAATTAATGAACTTATACATCATATTTTTTTAAGAAGCTAATATGGGAGTATAATTTAGCGAAGATCGGACATAGTTACTCATATCCTTGTATCTAGTTTTGCAATTTTTGTTTTTCCGTTTTACATAGAATTAAGTTTGATATGTATGGTTATAAGATCCGCAGGAATCCTTGTCACTTTTCTTATATTTCAAATTATATATATATATATAATTTAAAAGCACAAAATATGATAAAAATTGCAGGCCAGTTTCAGGGGCTTCGATGAACCCGGCGAGGAGCTTAGGGCCAGCGATTGTGAAGCATGTGTACAAAGGGTTATGGGTGTATATAGTGGGACCAATAACCGGATGCCTTGCAGGAGGAATTGCATATAATTTCATCAGGTCCAAACCAAACTAATTGTAATTTGCACCCTCATTATTTCAAATTACTTCCAACTTCTAGTTTATTAGGTTTGATTGCAGAAAGATCATGTGTCTTCAAATTTAATTAGTTGAATTAAATATAGTTTGCAGGCAAGCTACTGTTATTTCATAAATTAACCAAAATCAAGTCATGTGATTTATTCTATTTGTTAGTGTTAAGCTAATGGGGATCACATGGGATAACCATAAAACATCTACAAGAACTATACTCTAAACTATTTTAATATACGGAGAGAGGGTTTGAACTCTGGTTTAAAGGGACGCCTTGGCCAACTAGGCTCACTCTATTTGCGGTTCCCTCTAGATTCTTTATAAACATGCATGACGCAAATGCCCTTTCAATTTGTTTTGGTACCTTAGAATTAGATTAAACAAGATTATCGGTTATGTGCTAATAGAATCCTTTAGCAACCAAGTAGGACCATGCTGAGTGAAAACAAATAAAATTATACAATAAAATAAACGGTATTAGATGCCCTAAAACAATGCCTTATCAAATGCTGAGTGACATCAAATTTCCATTTTTCCTTTATTTTCTTCACTTAAACAAATTCACATCACATCTATAGGTATCGTTCCAGTCTATAACCAACCCCTAAAAACAATGATTGAATAGATAATGCAGATAGCTGTCTGCCTGAATATAATAAACTCCATGTATGTTGCCCAAGGGCCAAGATGCTGAAACCCTGACTTGTAGGGGCTTCTGAAACTTTTTAAGCATTTCTACCTCCTGCTTCCAACGCTAACTGTGTCGCGGGACGAACATGCATTATTCATATGCCAGTATAATCTAGCGCCTTAATTGTCTTTCGGCACCACATAGCAGAATCAGGATCATATCTCAGCTCCCAAGTGGGCCAGTAGTGCAAGTCCTGCTTCAATGTTAGAACTCTAGGCTTCCCGTTTAGGTGAACTGTCCTCACACGAACAAACTGTCCATGTTCTAACTCCTGATGCAATTTTCAAAGCAACATTACAAAATATCATAAGCAACTCATGGATCCAATATATATCTTAAAATATTACACCCACTCGTAATTCTGTGACAAAAGATATATATACAGAAACTATGGCCTTCGTTGGATGTAACGAAAACCCTTATACAGATGACTAATCTGGGGGCATGGGTGCAGCCAGGATTCAAAAGTGCGGTGGGCTCAACTTCCAGACTAAGTTTTTTCTTTTGAATGAAAGTTTTCTGCCAAAAGTTGCTAAAACTTAAAGAACCCAAGAATAATTAAAAGTTACTTGGAAGAAAGAAGTAGCAGCAGCAATTTTGGAGCACAAATTTAGAAGGAAACAACAATAAAAATATTTTATTTTTGGGCTGAAGGTAAGGGATGGAGAGCTAATGGAGCCAAATTTATATACCTCTAAGTTCTTTATTATTTTAGGGATTGGCCGAAATGCTTCCTCTACAATCACATGAAGAAGAAAAATACAAAGAGACTGACTAATGCACGTGAACAACAAACATATTTCAACATAAAACTGAAACATGAAGTGCTTTATTTCTCTTCACGATCATTTTATTTTTATTTTTTTACCAGTTTAGTAAATTATCAGTTTACCACTCCATACTCGTGACGGGGAATATAAGCTAGAAAACACATATATAAATATAAAGTGAAGTGTACCTTTGTTACATTCACAAAAGCATCTAAATCAGGAGTCTGTTTTCCATTGACTTCAACTATCCACTGAAGAGCATATAGACCATACCTATGCACTGGACTACCATGACACCACCTGGTAAATTTGACAATCCATCAGCATATTGAGAAAATTGAACAATAGAACATAACATATCACCAAATTATCACCAAATTTCTTTTTAGAAAAGCCCAAGTAATTAAGTGAAAATCGAGGACTTTCGCAAAGTTCGGGCAGACCGTTTGGGGAGTAAAACATCGAGGATTTGGGCCTAGAATAATCCTCTGTACATAGAACACCATTATACCAGTCTAAATAACAGATGCCTGACCAGCTTTAGACTAGTAGCCCGGATACCCAAATTAGCCTGATTCTTCAGAACATTTCTTCACCTAAAAACCAGGCTGTAAAAAATCAGCTAATAGCAAATCCATGAAGGGTCGACATGGGCACATCCTCTGGGTACAACACAGTTCCAACATTGACATACAGTCAATGTCTAAAAAGTTAAAACATGTAGTGGCGGACACGGAAATAGACTTTTTTTCTTCTTATAATTCTTATGCATGTTTTATTATTCTTATTATATCTCCTTTCTGACCTTGAAACTCTAAAAGTGAATTCTGGTTAAAGTATTGAAGTTTATACATTTAACTTCATTGTTAAATTTTACTTTTTATCACTTCCATTGTAACACCCTTAATTTAATTTGCTAATAAGAACTTCAAGAAAAATTCCTACCTTGCCACATATACGCCATGACCTTCTTCTGGAAGAAACCCAAGAGCACGCACTGCCGGATGTGGATCCTGAACGATACACCCACACCAATTTACTACACGAGTAGTACCACTCCCATCCCTAACATCAGTTCCCACAAGAAGATCAATTTCACGTCCCTGGAAAACCATGGAGAGATCAGACTCTAAAGGATGTAAAGGCCTTTTTCCCTTGTAATTTAAAAGAGAAGCAAATTAAAGATCAATGCATAATAATAACAATAACGTAAAGGCATCCCTAAACACAAATGTTCTTTCAAGCCTTCCCCTAACCCAAAGATCATTTTGAAATGACTGGAAAAGGAGTCTAAAAATACTAAATTCATTTTACCTGCCGAAAAATGGTCATGTCAAGCTTGCCATCTTTGTTTTCATTTTTGTCTAATGCTTGGCAGACATTTTCCACATCACGGAAGCATGTAACTGGCTCCTTATTGATCGCCAAAACCATGTCTCCCTGCTCTAACAGATTTTCAGCTTTAGATCCAGCTAAACATCCTTTGACACGTAAAACTTGTCGTCTAATTGGATCTTTCTTGACAAGAGCCTGCAACGACAGCAATAATGGCAGTCTAAATATGATTTTCCAATAGTTGACATATAAATTCAAGTAATGAACAGAAAAGAATAGCAAATTGCACAATCACCATCATGGATCAGAAATAAGGCTCCTCAGTTGAACAGTAAAAACAAAAGATCAGAGGATATCAACATACCAAATCAAACTGTTTATAATAAACTGGCAGACCATTCCCCCATCCAGGGAGTAGGAGAAAATTATATTCATCCCTTGCAGTCTAACAAGATTTCTCAAGTAAATTTTATTTCAAAAAAATATGCCAGAGGACACAGCCCACATACAGAAGAATATCTCCTAAAAGAGGACCAAGGACCTTCAAAAGAGAAGAGTTTCCTAAGGAGATACGGCTTGATCTCTATCATGGAACAATCCACCCCGTCAAAGGATTTGACTGCTCCTCTCCATCTAAATACACTAAATACGTCAAGATGCCCATAAGGGATTAAAAGATGAGCAGAACATCCAAGAGACTTTAAAGACTGATGACAAGGATCCCCACAACTATCACGAGACAGGACTATGACCACAAGTTGGTCAAACATTCAGCTGCCTCCTAGGATAATACCAATTTATAAATATGGCTCCCCTTCTAATGAATTAGGCACTATCAAAACTTCTCCAAGGAGATCATACATGCCAAGAAATCCACACTAGGAGTAGGTAATACTAGTACCCCAAATTTCCTTTCACAAAAAAGAAAACAACTTTGACGATTCCCCAAAAATCACTAATAATAAGTTTTCACATCAAACAAGCTCTACTAAGTTCTACCCTTAATGCCAACAGATCCACTAATGTAGCCCCTCTTATCCAGCAGCAGCTATATACAACGTGTGGCCCTAGAAGACATAGAGTAGTTGCAGAATCCACGATCAAAGGTCATTGTTAAAAAGGGAGGTCACTAAAAATGTTCAAAATTTGGTGAGGTATAGACTAAACTCTCTGATGCTTCAATCAATAAGAGGACACATGGGAGGAAGCACTATGAGTGTGGGGTTTCATGTACAGCTCCAACTCTCCATACCTCAGTTGGAAGAGAAAAGGCCTAATAACTAGGGATGGCCGCTCCTATCCAGCCAGGCTCATTCTTGCAGAAGTAGGTATGAAAATGGTGATGTGTTCTTAATTTAAGGAATCAATCATGAAAAAATACCAATGTAACATTAGGGACATCATCAAGATAAGGTTTTATTTAGTGGCAATATGATTTCCAACATTTTCTGATTATATGATACTCCCTTAGGAAAGAAGGGTTAAACTTGTTTCTACGTACCAAACTCTATGTGATATGGAACATTTGATGGAATGAGATTCAATACTCATGAGTTAAGCAACATAAGGGTATGCAAGGGTAAGAAGGCCAAAGTCACAAAGCAACAAGTACTCACAAAGCAGGTATGGAGCAAATAATAAAAGCAACAGAAATTCATTCCAAAAACCTCATAGGGATTTCATAGGCCAACATAAAAGAATAACAGGTATGAATCACAGATGTAGATAGAAGAAATATTTAGTATCAGGAAGAAGACGTACTTGGACCCAATCATCACTCAGACCAAAACTTCGGGCCTTTGAAAGCAATGTAGGATATAGTTCGACCTCTAAAATTCTTACTAGAGGCATTGGCCTTTTGACACGATTTATGAGAAGAGGAGGGCCTTGAGCACCAGAAATGATTTTTTCTAGGACTTGGCTGATTGCATAAATTGGGATGCCTCTAACAAATTGATGATCTTCAGAGCTACTGCAACCAAATTTCAGCTGCAAATACGAATCAATAACAAAAATCAAATTAATTGAAGTTAAAGGAAATACCTGGATTTATTTTTACTTTTTCTTTTTCTTTGCTGAGGGAAACAGTATAAACCTGAGTTGAAAAGCTACCCCAGATGGCTTGGACCCTTCCATGCTCATCAGTTAGCACACCAGAAAATGTACTACCAAAATCTGAACACAGCGCAACATAAAACAATGAAAAATCAATCAAATCAACACTGAAAAATCAAGCTCAAGTTTAAACAATGAGAATTCCAGTTACCAGTATCAAGCTCGATGACTTCCATATTGGTTGCTCTGTACCGTGGACAATCAGCGGAGCCAATATTTAATGCAGCACAAGGGTTGGTCACGGTGGACTTTCTAGATGTTGCTTGTAGGCTTCTACTTAACCCCACAAGATACACAGAATCCCCACGACGTAACGCAGGATCTGCCTCAGACAGTAGTTTAGTATATTAGTTTAAACACATCAATGGAGTAGAGCACAACAGAAAAGACACAAAATAGACAAACTGCCACATGCTGGGACACCAGAAATTACTCAAACTATCAAAGTTTCAAAACTTCAAGCCTGTGGAAAACGAGCCCCTAACAACTTCAAGTGTGGCAGTCAGAGTACCGAGATGTCATGGGGTTCGAACTTGAGACCACTGGTCTGCAAGTCAAGACCCTTTTCCACTGGGCTAGACCCGTTGGCTTGTTGGCTTTATTAAAAAAACAGTCAACAATCTGAAACACAACCTTATGCTACTTTTAAAATGACAGAACAGTAACAAAACACCCTAAAATAAGTACACAAAGCACCATATCTATGGATTAGTGCAAGCACACAGAAGAGTGTTATGAGCTAAGTGCAACCTCTTTTTCCTGGGAAACCCTCCATGGTTTTCTATCAAGAAGGTGAGAATACAATTGCTCAAATCCATAATCGAGCAAGAATCACAAAGAATAGCTTTTTATATGGATAGAGATAGAGATCCAAAGGAACAGAACCATGTAGAAATGCAAACTTCGTTGGTTTACCATTGTTCACAAAAGTTTAACCCATTATTCATCTATTATTTTTAAAGTATAAGTTCTACCACTCCTCACATATGAACCTCCCTTAAGAGCTAGAGAACCCAAACATGGGAATTCAATGTCAATTGGAAGGTCAGAGTTGCAAGGATTCGAACTAAGGGTTTTAAGGTCTAATTCCATGTTAAATTTTGTTGGCTTACCACTGTTCGTAAAAACTTTAACAGTTCGTATTACACAGGACAATACTTTATAACAATACAAAGGTAGAAATGGGTAATGAATCAGGAAGTTGACAAACCAGTACATATCCATATTATCTATAGAAGTGAGAATTCTTGCCCAACATTACCTAAACAAGTGTTGTAACAAACGCTTTAATGGAATAAAACTCCAATTTCACTTAAATAATTATACAAGTTTAAAATAATAGAAAAGCATTCAACCAAATCCTTAATAAATGCTTTCAGTAAATATATCTAATAATTAACAATAATTTCAATTTAGATACATAATTATGCAAGATGAAAAAAAAACAAATTATTAGCAATAATATAATTGTAATCTATAACAACACATATGCAATGCATGAAAACTGAAAGTTAAAAATAGAGAAATTAGGTGAAAAGAAAAACCTACCAGGAAGTAGTTCAGCAGCACGAACAACAGAGGTACCAATAGCTCCCAGGGCCAAGGGATCATATGAAATGAGAGCATAATTGTGAACAGGGTGGAGAAAAACCACCTGAAATTTAAAGTAGGCAGCTTAGGCAAAATATCTAACAATCATTATCTACATATGCTTACATGTTATTGATTTACCTCGCCTGGAATTTCAATTGGAAAAGCAGCAAACGATAGCATCACGTCAGAGGAAGATATTGCAACTGTGTTCTTGTCAACAGCAACCAATCCCATGTTTTGAGAATGATAGATAATTACACCAGTCCCAAAAAATGTTGTGAATGTACACCATCGAGCATACAAGATGGTGGTACATGAACCTGCAATTATATGAGATCACTTCTTAAGATTGAAAAGATTGCCTTACAACATATCTCTCTGCCATTGTGCTTCTGCCTCTGGAAAAATTGTGACTCTATGTGTGTGTGTGTGTGTGTGTGTGTGTGTGAGAGAGAGAGAGAGAGAGAGAGAGAGAGCATGACTCCCCCCTTCTTCCCAAAAAAAAAACCAAAAAATAAATAATAGAAGGAAAAAAGGAATGGAAATGACTTTGCACACTCAAAATGATATAAAATTTCCAATATGGGTACCTCAAGCATAACGAGAGTCGGCTCTATAGCACGTTCAGCTAATGAAGCATTAGCAGTGGCTACATTTGCAGCTTGAAAATCTCCCATAACAGCATTCTCCATGGTATTTGGATCCTCCAGGTTAACTTCATTTGTTTCGGGAAAAGAACAGTCAGCAACAACACTTCCATCAGAAGAAAAATTCTCCTTCACTCGCCGCTTCTTTGTTCCAGCATCAAATTCATCCCGAGAATGTGCTCCTTCAGAAGCATGCTCATAACTGGTTTCCATACTAGCGACGCCATCAGTCAATTCCTCGTGGCTATCGCGATGTATGTGTCCCACAGAAATGACCTCACTACTTAGAGGACCTGCTTGGCTTCCTGTACCTCCGAGACCATTGATACCAGATGATAGCAGAATAGCATCAGGTTGAAAAGCAGGCTTGGCAGTCCAAAGGCCCGTACAATCATCACGTGTGTATATCTGTGGAGGGGCATACCATTCATGGCGATCAACCGTGACCAGGACTGACTGCAGACACCAAAACAGTCAGCAAAACAGAACCAATAGCCAAGGGGAGGGGGAGGGGGAGAGAGAGAGAGAGAGAGAGAGAAGAGAAAGAAAGAGATCTTGCTTGTATATAATAATTTTTTTTTATAATAGAAACGTAGAATATATTAAAAAAAACCACAGCGGGGCAAAGAAGAGGATGAGAAATCCTCACACCACAGCCAACACGAACAGAGCAAACAAAAGAAACAAAAACACGAAACCCATGCAAAAACAAAGAAACAAAACAAGTTCCCAGAGAATACCCAGAAACCCAACACTAAAGGCAGATCACTTCACAACAGCTACAAGATCCCTCATAATAATAGGATAAGGATGCTTGTATATAATAATGTGAACCAATGTTTTCTATTTCTGTAGAATCCATACACTATCATAATGTATATGATAAAAGATTTATTTGTTGGAAGAGAGGAGGGGTAAGTGGAATTATTTTGGGTAGAATTAATTTTTTTAGCTTCTATTTGGGCATCTTCCGTTCGTGTAATTCTTTTAGATTGGCTGTTTCAATTCGAATAAAATTTGTGATTCTTGAGGGTGTTAATTTGGGCATGATAAACTTCTCCATCCGACCTGTATATTCTTTCTTTTCATCAATAAATTCTGTGTTTCTTATTCAAAAATAGAAAATAAAACTAGTGGACTCTATCTTTCAGAAATCAGAACTAGACCCTTAACCTCAGACTAATGACTCTATGTTGCTTTTCCTTTATGTAATCTTAAAGATGAATTTTGGAAACCAGCAGAGGGAGCAACTATTTTCATATGTTCGAGGAAGATTATCACAGATTAAATCAACATATACCTTCCTTCGATGACGATCCATGTAGCTTATATACTCTAATGGCACTCGAGCACCCCGAGATAGCTTGCATAGAACTGAAATTAGATCCTCAAGTCGTGATATTTCCTCACCAGCAAACTTCTTAATGATAGCATGGCGAGGAACTCCAGCTCTAAAGAGCATATATCTGCAACAATTTAAAGTAACAGATCAATTATGTCAAGAGGCCTACTGCAAATCGAAATAAAGAAAGAAAGACCATGGCCTATTCTACTTTCCAAATTCACCCTTCAAAATATCTGAATTAAAACATATGACACATTATGAATACAGATTACACTGGTAACAACTATGATTTTGAAATTTCAAAGTTGAAGTGAATAGGTTTTCAGTACATTTATTCAGTGACAAAAGTCTTTACGTTTCTCATATCTTTTTACCTATGGTCAAATAACCATGTTTGAGATCTTTCTATTTAGCATAGAAGGTTAAGAGACAAAAGTCTTTAATTCTCACCTCGTTGAATCCCTTCTTCAGTCAACTTGCTATATGTAGTTTCACCCTTTCAATATAACTTGGATTACTACTTAGCAAAAATTAGAAAAATATAAAAATATAAAAAATATATTGGGGGGTGGAAGCCTAGTCCTAACATTTGATTAACAAATCCTCTTGGCTGCTTTAAACACAATTCATGATAGATAAACTCCTGAATACATTTGCTTCTTACAGAAAAAGTTACTGGGAATCAGTAATTATCATTATGCGCAACTGATTTTTTTAGGGAAAAATGGCAACCGATGATACAGAAAACTGATAACATTATCCCATACGCCATAGTTTCTGAATTCATGTAATAACAATAAGCTAAACATATAGCACAAGATCAAGACAACATACCCTGGTTCTGACACATACACAAGGCCACAATGGAAACGAAAATTTCTAGCCTGTATGAAAAAGAAGTGTTTTAGAAGCCAAAATATCATGATATTAAGTGAAAGGTTTAATACAAGGCAAATTAAGATGAAAATCCATGGTGAAAGGCATAAAAACACAAGTAGTATTTCAGTAGGCAGGTCCAACATATTTCAAATAAGGCCTCTTATGCACCCTTTAATCAACTATCTCCTTAGAATATAGGATAATATAAACATGCAATATATGCAAAAGAAACGCACTTGGCTTGTTAACAGCATGCCAAATACTGAGTACAAACACAAATGCAAACAAACACGACTAAGAGAACAATAACACTGCACCAAATTGTTAGATCACTCAAAATACTAAACAAAAACCACAAAATCCACCAACCTGTTGGTAGGAGAGAGGGTGTATCACTGCACCACTTACTTCTAAGAAGTATTAGGGGTTATTGAGTGTAAATCCTGCACCTGAAATAAACAAGATGGCAAATTTTCTTTATGGAACAACAATAAAAACCAACAAAATAAAGGAATACCGCCAAACTGCAACCAAGCAGATAATGCACAAGAATAAATTATGTATTAATTGAGACCTCAATAAGTTTAACATAGGAATCTGCAGCGTAACATAGGAAATTAGGAATTAGTCTCTCCTTCATCATTATTTGTGATGAAGAAGAGGGGGAGGAAGGAGGGCCACCATTTTATGAAGCAGCCATTCACATCCAATGTTAATGAGGCAAAATTTCAGAGATAAAAACTCAAGATGCAATTTGCCAAGCATCCATCTAAGAAAATTAACTCTCTCAACTAAGTGCTTCCCGACAAAGGCTTATACAAGAAAAGTTGACTTGTGACATAAAAAAATTGTCTGAGTAAACACATCTAACCTAGCCATGTCTAAAGCGCCATCAGAGCATCATTAACGGATGATTACCTTAATTTCTAGACGACCAATCCACCTGTTTCAGTGCTTTCATGTAAATAGACTAAGGATGTTTCGAATTACCTTAATTTCTAGACGTCCGTTCCACCTGTTTCAGTGCTTTCATGTAAATAGACTAAGGATGTTTCCAAGTCTAACTGTTGTCGTTTTTGCTTTCCTTTTTTCTTCCCCACATGTTTTTTAATGAGGTTTTATAAGTTTTCAACTCCTAGTAATATTTTCATAGTGTCACTGTCACCTAAGATTTTTGTTTTTGATGTTGTTCCAAGCAGTCAAATAGATGTTACACAAAATTGCCAAAATAAGTCAACCAATTAAGAAAATCAAACACACAATAATAAACTTGGCTCCATTTTAAGAAACAAAACTTAACTTAAACCCAAACATCAAGGAGTTCATATCCAAGATATTGAATATATAAATTTTGAATGCCTATATCTAGAGATGGACAGTAAGTCCTTCGAAGTGGTTAAACACTAATTTTGAGTTAGTGGGACAACTTTTTGCAGTTGGTTTTAGGGGGGAAACCTTGCAGCACCTCCATTAAGAATTACAGAACATTGCACCAAATCCTGGCCACTGCACTAAATTATTTAGACAAACAAAAGAGACTTTTCTGTAGCATAACACCAATACCAAACAAGAAAAACTCTCACCACCAAATCTACAGTTAATGGTTTGCCACCCCTTTCAATTTGCATTTCAATCTTTTGATTAACACTGTCATCAAGTAAGGTCTCCATTTTCAGGAATTGGGTAATTACCTGCACAAAGAATTCAATATGTAAGATTCACTCGTGTAAGTACTGTCCTGCAGGAAAATACTTTCAGGTTTATTTCCCCCACAATCATATAGAGCCTAAAAGTAATAACTTTGCAATGATCATAAACAAAGACAAATGAAAAAGTTAAATCCTAGCTTAAGTTGTCTAAAATAAACATATGGACCACAAAAAATGTTTATTACATATTTATGGAATCTGAAAAAACATTTTGCAAAAGGAGCAACCATAAAAACAAGTAATACTATGGTATTATGTAGTGAATATCAAGTTAATGGAATCTCATAACTCATCAATGAGACTATTTTTTATAGATTTGTAGCCCCATATAGATGGTTAGCAAGTGGGAAAAGTAAATTTTATAATGTGATTCCGACATTTGCAAATGAAGTGGTGGTCGGATGCATAAAGAATAAAACCAGATGTAGCAATGATTACGCACGTCATCTAAGAACAGCTTATTTCTATAAATGATAAAGTTAATGTGAGATGAAAAGCATAACTTACTTCCCCATTCATGCAAACAAGAACATCACCTGGCTCCAAACACTTGTAAGCTGGACCACCAGGTACCTGAAACAAGTCCAGCATCATATGCATCCTAGAAGTGAGCATTGTATCACCATGGGAAAAAAAGGACAAATTTGATACAATTTCAAAGTCTACAGGAATACTCACCACATTCTCAACAACAAGCATCCCAGTTTCACCCAGGGGAGATGCATGACGAACTAACTAAACAAATCAAAACAACAAGTTATTTGAGGCACCCTACTTTTAATGGCAATTGTGAAGTATGGGAAAAGCAGATGGAAAAAAAAAAAAAAAAAAAAAAAAAAAAAAACTCCTGTGTTCACTCTGAAGGCCAAGTCGGCGTGTCTCATCAAATCCTTTATGGACAAAAGTCACCTATATTATAAATTAAATAAGCTGCGTCAAAATAATAATTCCTAGAATAATGTAAAAAAAAAAAAAAAAAATAAAAAACCCAGATAGAAAAAAAATATAAACAGCATGAAATTCTTTGTTTCTTATCATCAAAACTCAAATTAATCAGGTACTATAATTAAGAATTCCCTGTATCTTTATGTATTTATTTATCCTACCTACCCTCCATAAAATAAATAAAAAATTAAATAAATTGTTTTCAATACTCCATTTCAGTGTAGATAGTTTTTGTATGCCTGCATACAAACAATAAGTTGTAAATAATACCATTTCTGTTACCTAATAAAGGCGACCTACAAGGTAAAAATCGCTCTGGGAGGAATTTGGTTAACTCCCCACCAAAATAGCAGTACTCTCGTGTCTATGAAACTCTTAAAAATTGGGAAACAATTTAATTGAAGTGATTCCCTTTCAGGATAATTCCAACACAAACCTGAAGCGTACCACGAGGTATAGAGACTGCCTCCCATTTATTGACAAAGGAATCTCTGCCCTTCTGGAGAAACTTCAATGCCCTCACAACCTGCAGTATGAATAACTCCATGTTACAAATTATAATTGTTACAAAACTAAATTATTTAATCCCCATGCAGAACCAATAAAGATTCAGGAGATGTATATAATGCACTTACTCGTTCTAAGGGTAAAAAAAAAGCTGAAGCGCTTGATGACTTGCTACCAGCATTCAAGGCCACTGCCCTGCCTAACCAATCAACCACAGGAGATCCACTGGAACCACCTTTTGTGCCAGATGCAGCCTATAACAAATACAAGTAACAAATAAATATAAATGTGAATTTTTAGCAGAAGCTTCTAGCAGCAAAATATACATTGCCAATTGTCTACCAACAATGCTAAGTCATTCCCAGACAAAAAGAAAAATGCAAAGTCGTTCAATATGAATCAGTCATGATCCAGTCCTTATTGTCACAAAGGACCAAAATGTATATTTGCCCACATCTGAAAGCTTCATCGGTAAAAATCCTCTGCCAGTGCAACGTAATATTCACATCTAAACTCTGCCTGATTCTAACATTACATTTATGCCCTTGATGGACTCTATTTAGATTTATCAGTAGCATAAATTAAGGCATAAAGACAATTACCTTATGTACAAACCTCATGTGTAAGTTTTACAAGGAATCACTATGTCCCCCGAGCATCATTTAAAGGACCAAAGAAATTTCTCCCAACTCACATGAGTTGGAAATACACTAGTTTGTTGTAAAATAAAAAAGGAAAGAAAAAGTTCCATTCCAGAGAACTGAGACAGAAATTTCAGACAAGGCTTCAATGTTTCAAGAAAAAACCGGTAATGCATTAATGTACCCCAGTAAGAACTCATTCTCCTCCCATAACAATAAAGAAATTAGCAAGACACTAAATTCTTTGCAATCAAGACTTTCAGCAGATAACATTAACGTTACATCATCCTTAGATAGGGCTTTGGCTTATTTTTCTGAAGAAGTGCTGTCTAGTACTATAAACATTTTCTTGGGGCAAACATGGCCAACATGGAGCAAGGAGGACGAAGGGCATTTATAAAGGCATAAATGCTCACCTCAGACTATGTTCCGTCTTCCTTTTTATTTATAACAGCATCTACTACCTAGTTTTAAAGGGTTTTTTACACTTTGGCCTCAATTAAGTTCCTGAACAATAATTTGTTCCAATTTTTTGAATATCAAATCAAACATTCGTACAAATGGTTAACAAATCTCAGGTACAATTTTGGTACTTACGTATTGTTCATTAAATGTGCCTTCAACAATAATAAGGAAGACACAAAATTGCCCGAGATATATTAACCATTCTAATGAAATTTTGATTTATTAGACACAAAATTAATAGAGGGACTAAATGGGGACAAATTATTCTTCATGTACTGAATTGATAAATGGGTACAGCTTCAGGTATCAAAGTGGGAAAAAAGAAAAGCCCTTAAAAAAATATTGCACATGTACAATTAAAAACCCTCGGCCAGTCAGAAATTGCCATATATTAAGATTAATACATGTTGAAGCAACAAACTTCTGTTTCTACTCATCAATCTTCTTCTCTTGTTGATTAAATTATCCTTCTAATTACCTTTTTGTAAATGGAATCTCCTTCCCTTTGTTGTACCTTATATCTTCATCCTCACCCAACAACCAATAAAGCAGTACAATACGGCCCAAGTATAGCCCAAAATATCTACCCTACAAAAGAAACAGGAACGCTCATATAAGTGACGCATTTAAGCGTCTATAAGCGCCAACCACTTTCAGTGGTTAGAAAGAATACAAACACTTAGGTATATCGATCATTCAAATCCATCCAAAAGCTGGATGTTTAGAGCACTGAGAGGCGCTTAGAATATATCATTCATAGGAGCATTTTTGACAAAAAGAAATACTCTGAAGCAGACTCAAATGGAAATGTCACAAAACTTTAAACCCAAAAACTACTCCAGCGTAGGAGGAATACACGAAATTATAAGGTAGCATAAATAAAAAAATATGCCACTTACTTGCATGTAGAATGTATTGAAGTCATTGTAACCATCCCTGCGCAAGAACACAATCATGATTAACCAGAAAAAGCAGTAAACCTGTATTAAAGAGTCTGAAGAACAACCGCTCAGATGGTTCAGGTTACTTCCTATCATAGGTTACTAGCATAATATAACAGCCTCGGTTGTGTTGTCTTAATTTGGGCAAACCTTTGGAAAGAAATTTATTAAAAGGTCTAATTATACTTTGCTCCCTGTAGTTTGGGGTTGGTTTCAATTTTCACAATCATATCCCTGCATTTAATTAGAGGTTGCAGATTAGGTGAAATCAAGATTTCCACTAAGAAGTAAGGAAGTAGCACTGTAAAGTTTATTGTAAGCACTTTTCCATTTAAGAGTACTCAGAGAGCTGGGGGTACCAGCAAAGGCTTTTATTGTTTCCATCAACTGCTGCTTTTGAACAAATCCACTGGAAAATCAAGTGAGAAAACAGATTGTCCGTAGTTGGTCTTATATGTTAAGCATGACGATCAAAACAGAGGATGATTTACTTTTGCATTGTCCTGTCACTGAGGACATCCAAACTATGATGTAAGCATCTAAGGCATACTAGAAACACCAAATTCTATGGTTCAACGGATCTGCTTAAAAATTTAGGTAAGCAAGAATGTTAAAGTTCTTGAAGAGCTCTTTCTTTGGGGCTTTTGTTTATTTTATTTTATTTTTCTTTTATAACAAAGAACACCAAGAGAGCATCAGTGGGATTGGAGCCTCTTACATGAAAGACAAAGACAGCTTTTCTAATATTCCTTTCACATGGGTCAGTTTGTTAATTTTGTTAACTCTGGTTTTTCCTAGACCATCAGATGCTAAAGCATCAAGCTTTCTTTTTACTATACATATCTACCTAGCAAGCATCCCATGCACTCTTACATGAATGACGACAAAGACAGCTTTTTGAATATTCCTTTCACATGGGTGTCGGTTTGTTAATTTTGTTAACTCTGGTTTTTCCTAGACCATCAAATGCTAAAGCATCAAGCTTTCTTTTCACTATACACATCTGTCTGTCTAGTATACATCCCATGCACTAGTTGTCCTCAAAATAGTTTTGCTTATCCAAAACAAACAACTACCATTACATGTAACATTCTTATTTTGAACATAACTAAACTATAAATATAGGATAATGTATGTCATTTCATTGGTTTTCAAGAATAAAGAAAAAAAAGGAACAAAGTAATATAGCAAATGTTAGTAAAGCTGATACGTACTTTTTGTAATGAGGAGCATCTCTATCCAAACGAGCAAGAGTACCAGCTAAAATAGAAACCTAAAAAATGAAGTGAGTCAACTAAAGAACAAGTTGCTTAAATGTAAGACAAACAATTAAGAGGCATTAAGTGAAAGCACAAAATTCAAGAATGAATACCTTTTCACCACTATCGTTACCGACAACCCTGATTTCTAGACCAACACAAGCAGCCTCAGGGGCCAGAGGAATCTCTTCATAATTAAGAAACTGTATTGCACCAGGATCATAACAAAAGAAGCCAAAATCATGTACCTGAAAAAATTTATACATATATTAGTGCTACCAATATACGCACGATGTCAATAACACACATTGAATGTAAAGACATCATAATTGCGCCTGTTACAAAGGGCCAACATGTTTGATTAAAGCTAGATGTGAGTCAATATTGTCCAAGTTCTTATTATGAAAAGGAGAGAGAATATTTGATTGTCAAGCTAAAACTTCCAAATGCCTATAACATGCAATTTGAAGAAAAGAATGGCTAGTGCAGTAAACTAGTGTTTTGCTTTTTGCTGTGCTATTGCTTGCAGACTACTTGTTGACTAATGGAAAATATTGTACATTCCTGACTAATGAAAATGTCATGTGCACATTGACGGATCCATTAAGAGTCCAGTGAAGGCACTTGCCTTTACTCAATCATGTTCAAGGTGCCAAGTTTTCATGAATTTTTTTGCTAAATGGGGGCAAGCTGTTTAATAAAACGCCTCAAAGAAGACTAAGGCAAGGCAAGGAGGGCAACATGCTCTACTCCTTTACTTATGTTATTGTTCTCTGGACTCACTATTTCATATCTCATTCTTCTCTTTGCTTCTTGCAATGGAGGAATTAGGCAGAAGGTGTAAAGTTTGTTGTATCTAGTTTGTGCATGGATATGTTTATATGATGTGTCTTTTTACATTTAAGACTAGATTGATCTTCATTATTAGTGACTTGGTAGTAGTGTTTTCTTGCCCCAGGGAAAGAAAATTCTTGGATCCACCACTGCATGTGCATATTGTGGTCATACTTGTATGAGGAACAATATAAACAGATAATCTTATTTTTGCTTTACCAAAATCACAATGATGTCTTACAATTTGAAAAATCTTAAATCAATTAAAGAAATAAACTGATCAATCAGCAATACCAACCTTTCATTTTCTATGGTAAGTAAGAGAACGGCAGAGGCGTGCCGGGTGGATATGAGATTATTTAATGGTGTAAAAACAAGAAAAAATTTCCAAACCATCGTGCAATGGTAGATCATAAATCAAACATAAAAGAAGAATTTACTCACCGGATCCCTATATATAGGGTATACTGGAACTTCTTCACGGTTCACAAACATGGCTTCTGCAACTACAGGTCCTACAGTACCAAAGCAACAGAATTAGAAGGATAGCAAAGCAGTTGAAGATCCTTATATCAGGTTCAGTTGAAAAGACAGAAAAAGAAAGGCACTAAATGTTGTTCTGTCCAGACAATTATTACACAATTGAAAGTTGAAGTTTTGACATATTTTTCTTACATTTTTTTATCTGATTTTTAAAATAAATAAATAAATTACAGAGATTCCAGATTAGTTTGTTGAATTAAAAACCCAAGTTCTGCACCAGTATCGATTGTGGAAATCATTTCCATCGATATGTTCAAATTTAATCTTAGAAAACGTAATACGACTATCAAACTCCCATTTTCTCAGTAAACATAATAACCATAGACAAGCAACAATCCAATTTCTCACAAGCTAAATATTGACCATACAGTAGCAATATTTTCCGTAACTAAAAATTCTTCAAATCCAAGAAAGACAAGATTTATTCTTTTACTCCTGTCCCAAAGAGATAATCCCTTTCTTCACTTCGCACATTTTTCAGCTATCAAATAGGCAGAAAATTAACAGACTAGACAATCATCACTAAGCACTTGAACTTGAAGAAACTTAAAGAAGGAAACTTTCTGAACTCGAATTAACTTAAACATTCAAAATCATTAGTTTCTGTTTCTTTCTCTCACACTTTCTCAGGAACCAAACGAAAAAGAAACCTGAGAACCACAAAAATACCAGGCTTGACAACATGGCGATTGGTGAGGATGATCCCGCGGCGCTTATCGACGACAAAGCCAGTGGCATAGCTAGCACCAGCGGCCTCAGTGTCGAAGGCACGACACGCCGTTGTCCTCAAAACGACGACGGCTGGGACGACCTTGCTGAGCGCCTTTCTCCAGTCGTCGGCTGTGGCCGTGTTCTCTTTGAAAGGAGGATCGATCTCCATGGAGAGGTCGTCCTTGATGCTCGATTCAAGCCCTATGGCCTCCGATCCCAGCCTCTCCAGAGGATCGCCCATTCGAACTCGCTCGCTGACTCAGTGAATTGAATGAATGGCAATGAAGTGAAGAGAGGGTTTACTTTCTTTCTCTGTCTTTTGCCTGAGAAGCTCCTTTGAATATAAGAGTGTGGGTGAGTGAACTCTGACTGTGTGAGTGTAAGTGCGAGGAAAAAAGAAAAGTAGCAACGGACCCGAGTCCAAATGTCCCTGATGACCCGAGTCCAAATTTCCCCGCTGACCCGAGTTCAACTGTCAATCAAATTTTACCATTGACCAAACAAAGAAATTTACCTTATAAGGATTTTTTTATGTTGTAAATAATGTTATGGGTGTCATTCACAAACATTTATTCAGAGCCAATATATAATGGGGTAAAAATTGTTTCTCTATTTACTTCAAGAACAGATAATCAAGAGATATTATTGGGGTTAAGATGGGCACCGAGAAAAGTCAAACTATTCAATTCAGCATGGTAAATAATAATTTTTTTATGTTTTTTTTATCACAAACAGTCCTTGAGTTTTGTGAAATTATTATCTTTCGTCCTTAAGGGTTTTTTGTGATACTAATGGACTTTAAAATTACCCTTTACAAATCAAAATGGTCTCTACCGTTAACTTCCGTTACATTTTCTATTAAAATGTTGTCGTGGCACATACATGGCCACACATCCAATCATATAGAGCCATGTGGGTTTAATAAAAGATATAACATATTTGGAAAAGAAAATTAAAGTTTTTAGAAAAAAAAATTTTGAAAACCCATATTTACTCTCTTCTCTTTTTGAACAAGAAGGTTTGCTGAATTAATGGGGTGTAGGAGTTTTACCATGAATTTGGTCCGCCATTGAAGGGAAGGTTTGCTGCAAGAAGGGTGTGTGAGTTTGCGGGGTTTGGGGAGGAGAGCCTGGACTGGAGTCATTCCTTTCTCTTTCTTTTTTCCATTTTGTTTTCTTTTTTATGGTTTTTAACTTTTTAATTAAAGGGATAAGAAAACTTTGTTATTATCACCTCCCATATTGTTGTGTTTTGTTTGATTTGGTAACCAAAAAGTCTCCAAATACCAAAAGTTCTGCACCATATTGATTATTTTTCTCACCAGGACTAGAGAGAAAAGGAGAGAGGTAGAGAGATAAAGGGGCAGGGGCGGTGATGGCTGCCCCAAGTGGGTTGGTGGGGGAGAGGGGAGGGTACAGAGAAAGAAAGAGGAAGAGAGAGAGAGAGAGAGAGAGCAGAGGGGAATGTGCTATATCAGCATTTTAACTGAAAATGTAATGAAAGTTAACAGCATTGATCATTTTGATGTGTAGAGTATATGGTAACTTTAAGGACCATTAGTGTCACAGAAAAACCTTAAGGACGAAAGGTGATAATTTCGCAAATCTCATGAACCATTTATGATACCTTTTTTTTTAATGTAAACCCAAAAAGTAGGTCTAAATTGATCCAACATAAACCCATGGATTTTTCCCAATGAATGCTTGACCTTTGGATTTGTATCTAATTTTCTATTCTTTAGGGGATCATGCCATGGCCATAAAGCCAAGATAGTTACTGCGACCTATTCATCCTCTTGTCACACCCAATAGCCACCACGAGCTATTCATACTCATGCATGCCGGTGGCCATTTATTTTTAGTTATAATCTTTCCTCATAAATGAAAAAAGAGGAAAATGAAAGCATAAAATGGTTAAAAAAACAACCATTTTCTTCTTATTAAACAAGACGAAGAAAGAATAAGAGAGGAATGGGAAGAGGGGAAGAAGATGAATGGGAACGTGTATCTCTAATTTCTTTTTTGGGTTAGAATAATTAAAAGAATTGTTTGAGTAAGACAAGGAGTATACGTGAGGGTTAATTATGTGTCATTGGATTAATACAAGGGCTTTTAGTATAGAAGAACTTGCAGCTCCTCATTTTTAGGTCCTTAGGTGAGCGAAACTGATAAAATATGAATGTATCAGCTTTATATTATTTTTCTGGTTAATTTAATTCTATAATATATGTTTCTTTGATTTCATATTCTTCATTAGTTAATTTATGCAACCAAATTCAGTGTGTAATGGTAATAGGAAGGCCCACTATGTCGTTAAGTGAGTTTTTTTTTTGTTGGTCCTACTTACATAGTACGGTGGGAAGTATTTTCTTTATGATAATAGAGATTTTATAAATTAAAAGCATATATCTAATGGATATGTGAGAAAATTAAGATCTTATAAACCCAACTTTTAATCAAATCCCACTTTCTGTCAATTTAATTAATTATGTGACTAGCAACATCTTAATCAAATTTTAACAATAAATTTAAGAGATATGGTTGATTATGTTGAGCATGGATTGGATCTATTTAGAAATATAAATGTTGGTGTGAAGAAGACTTGAAAGCTCTGAGGTTGTGGGTTTTCAAGCCTATCTGGGAAGAAGAGATGATAGCTATTTTCTTACAAGTCTATTTTCCAATGACATGATTTTGAAGGGGATTATTAGTCATGGGATTGTTTAACAAAATTTGGGTCTTTTTAATCAACAAGGTTATTTTTAACCAACCTAAAAGAAAAATTAAAATTAAAATTACTTTGTTGGACGTAATTTCAATTACATGGTATTTTCTAATGTTATGCTCTTGAGAGATATTGTTGAATATTATCATTGTCTATCAAGGATGAGTTGACAAAGTCTCTCCATAAGGATTGAACCTTGATTGTAATTGCTTTTCTGACCCTCCAAACTCTTGCTTTAGAATTTCCCAAGCCTCTTTAGAAAATTTTGCTCCCATGATTCTTATAAATATAGATTTGCTTACTCCTTGATGAATGCATTTCTGGGTCATTGCATCTTTCTTTCTATTCTTCATGCACTCCTTTTGTTTTGCATTTGTCCATGTAGCAAGAGTTGTAGCAGACTCTAGTGCATCAAAGCCATCTTCCACTAACTCTCATAATTCTTGAGAGAGAAATACAGTCTTAATTTGAATGCTCCAGTAGTCATAATAATCACCATCAAACACAAGGACTGCATTTTGATTTTAAATGATGGTTAAAGCCATGATAGGAAAATGGAAGGATAAGTAAATGCTCTGATATCACTGTTGGGTTTGAAAGCAACGGAATAGGTGTGATTGGTATGAGTAGGGACGGATCCAGGAATTCAAAATGACATGGGATGAATTTACCTTACAATAAAACTCGACGGCACGAGTGAATTTAATTAATAACAAAAAATAATACACCTAGTCAGGGGGTACATAATGAGTCGTACCCCTCAAAATGCATATAGTACATAAGATAGAAACTAGTAAACAAAGGCAACAATAAATAAATATGCAATGCAAACACAAAATAAAACTATTGAAGTTGCACCCTTCGAGACTTCAAAGAGTTAAAATCACTAATTAGTGATTCATTATCAATACTATCAACAAATTCTTTTTCAACGTGAAGTAACATACAATCAGCAAGAAACTCACCCTCGATCTTGTTCCGAAGCCGATTTTTGATAAGTCTCATAAATGAAAATGCACGTTCTGTTGTTGCTGTAGAAACATGAAGAGTTAACACCAAACGAATCAATCTATCAACCAATGGTAGGTGTGTGCTAACCCTGTATCAAGTAAACACTTCAGCAATTCAGGAATGGAATCAAGATTCTTGAAGGCTGGAAGACGGTCCATATCAATCTTATAAAATCCCAATTGTTGATTTAAAGCTTGCAACTCAGTTGTAGTAAAATCTTCAGGATAAAACTTCTCAGCAAGATTACATATATCATCAATGCTAAATCGCTTGAAAGAATTACGAGGATCCAATGCTGAGGTCAGATAAAGAAGTTCCACTGTTTGCTCCGGAAATCTAGTATTTAACTCCACCAACTGAAAATCTATTACATCATTAAATACATCAATGCGATAATAATGCTCAAATGTAATAGAATCCTTTTGTTGACAAGAATGACCTTTACCCCATTTTATGACGAGCACTCATATCAGGTACACAAATGTCATGTTGTTCACAAAATGATAGCACACACTTGATAAAATCATCCCAACCATCATTTCTCAACTTATCTAGCTTCATTTTTGTACTTGAAACATGATTTAAAGCACTTACAATGACTTGAGATTTGCTTTGAAGTGCTTGACAAAGAAAATCTGTAAATCCCATAGTTTTGTCCAACAAAAGTAAGGCAAAGGCAAAATCAAATGACATCATAGAAATATAAATACTCTCAGCTTCCCCACGAAATTGTGAGCTAGGTCTATTATGACCTATTTCGTCAAGTATGACCTATTTCGTCAAGAAGTATCTTGGTTGCACCAAATAAATCAATCAAACTCCGAATAGAACTAAAATGAGAGCCCCATCGAGTAGTTCCAGGTCGTTGCAAACAACGAATTTGATTAACCCTCTACCTGTTCCAAGTTTTCCAGCATCTAATAACTCTTGAATTTCAACTTTTCTAGTAAATTTCAACTCAGAATGACGCTTGGCGGAAGCACTAACAAAATTCACAATGTTATTCAACATTGAAAAGAATCTCCAAATGACTCCCACATCTTTAGCTGCAGCATTTAAAGCTAGTTGGAGACGATGAGTAAAGCAATGTATATAATATGCATATGGACAATCATTAAGAAACAATGCTTGTAAGCCACTCCATTGACCACGCATATTGCTAGCCTCATCATATCCTTGCCCAAGCATATTTTTAACTAGAAGAGTATGTCGACCAAACACTTTACAAATCTCGTGGAAAACAATCCAACCCAAGGATCTTTTGACTAGGCCACATGGAGGAACCCTCAACAACCGTATGGCCAGGGACGAGTTGTCCAATCAGGGGACTGGGCTCCCGATATGCACAGTAGAATCTTCAATACTCGTGCGCCTATGACAAGTCCTACGCTCTTGTGACAACTCTAAACCCTAAACCCTAAGAGGCTTATAGGAAGGATATTGAAAGAGCCTTCGAAATACTTCAGGCTCAATGGGCAATTGTTAGGGGACCTGCACGTATGTGGCGCAAAGAACAACTTCATTCAATCATGATGACATGCATAATATTGCATAACATGATTGTTGAATATGAGTATGAGGATCTAGATGTAGAATCTGACGATGAAGGCAATTGTCCACGAACATCTAGAAGAGCAAGAGCAAGACTTGCTTATGGGCTTGAGTTAACTATCACGTACGATATAAATCGAGATAGACAAATTATCTCAGACTACATGGTTCATTATAATAGAGTTCGTGCTTCGCAAGTACATCACAATCTAAGAAATGATTTGATCAACCACATTTGGAGATGCGAAGGAGAAGGGCAATGAGCTATGTTGTGTGTTTAAATTATGTTGTGTGTTTAAATTATGTTGTATGTTTAAATTATGTAAGTGTGTTTAAATTATGTAAGCATGTTTAAATTATGAAAGTGTGTTTAAATTATAAAAGTGGTTGTGTGATTTTAATGAATTATATGGTTTATCATTGAATTTTAAAGATTAATCATAGAAATAAACGACAATCATAAAAAAAGATAGACGATAATTATAAATAAAGATAAACAACAATTACAAATAAAGATAAACGATAATTAAAAATAAAGATAAACAATAATTAGAAATAAGGATAAACGACAATTATAAATAAAGATAAACAACAATTACAAATAAACGTAAATTAATAACCATTATGTGGAGGGCTTGGATACTAGAGTTGTCTTATGGATTATAGGGGGAACTTGTATTCATCTGGGGCTCAATAATTTCGTCTTGTTTATTCCCCCAATACTTCTTCTTTCTTGGAGTAAATTTGGATAGGTCCATGAACATTATCCTCTATTCATTGGCCTCCTTATCTTGTTGGATTTGATATGCATGTTGCTCTTGTAGGAGCTCTAAATTTTGCCTCCTATCATCTTTTGCCTTATTTCCTTGTTGAACTAATTTAGACAAGAACTTACCACTTTGGTTGAGATAATTTTCAACACCTTTCCCTTTCTTTTTTTCATCCTTCTATTTACCTCTTCCCAACGGCCTTGGAGTGCATGACCACATCATCTTCATCTTCCTCCAAATTGACTGTATTGCCACTATGAGAAGAATCTTTGAATGTTTGTGTGAGAGATTCACATAAGTAGTTCCATTTTGGGCAATCTTTTTAGATTTACCAAACATGATACAACTTGAAAGACCTATTCGGAAGTTTATTATCATTCAAGAAAATTGTTTTTGCATTCATATCCTACCCATGAAATAAAATAAAAATCAAGTTAATAATTGAAAACAATTAAAATTATAAATTTAAGTATTGAAAAAATGGGTACTCACCACATCTTCAATATTGGAGCCACTCACATGCCTTGCATTGGCCTTTGTTATACATGCATTCCAAAGAGAACATTGTTGGTTGATGATCTTGAACCGAGAAGCAATAGCTTGCGGTGATCATACCCCGGCTCCGCTCATGCCCGGATCATTTTCCAAACACTTTTGGAATGTATATAAAAAAAACAGCAAATCAGATTATTTGAAAATGTAGCCGTTGGCCATCAATAAAGGAAATGGGAATTTGCTTTTTCGCACTTGTCAGCGGGCCCAACCAATTTGGCCATCACATGGGCTTCCAGCTGAAGAAAAAAAAATTAAAGCAAATTTTGGGCCCACAAAATTATCAGTCCAACCAAAAATGAGACTGGAATTCTAATCCAGTTTTGAGATTTCTCAAATTTTCACCCCCCAAAATACATGGGTTTGAGAAGATTTTTGGACTCAAAACTCAAAATTTGAGTTTCCACCCCTTGGGTTGGAGATGGTCTTAGAAACCCTAGAAATAACAAAAGAATTAAAATAGGAAAATAACAAAGTTTCCAGAAACTGTAAAAACTTTAAACTAGATTTTGGGTTACTAAATGATTTCGGATGTCCCCAAAAGCCCATACATCATGGCAAAGCGATGTGTTTTTACTCATGACATCGTTCTCTTCGAATCAACGGGTCATGGGCCTAATTTTGAGCTCAAAGCACAAATATGTAGTTTACCTGATTTGCCTTTGTGCGCGTATCACTCCAACTCCTCTTCGATTGCTTCCGTCATCTGTTCTACATCATTGCATGCTTGTGCTCCAATATATCTCCTTCTATATATCCAACGCAATTCTCAGGCATCGCAAAACTATTTCAATGTTTGTTCTTATATTATCGACCTTCATGGCAATTTTACAATTTTTAATAATATGTTAACGAAATTAAATTCATATTAGGTTACCACCCATTATTTTTTTTCATCTGTCTACTCATTCCATAGTTAGAACATCCAAGAATGCAACATATTAATAAAAATAATATTTAGTCCTATTAAATAAACTCAATTGAAAAATAACATGTCTCATATGTTAATTGTCAAACAGGTGGTATGAAATTGCATTACCCCTAGGCAATTACATTTTCATGCTCAAATGTATCACCTTCTACGTATCCAATAGAATTCACAGGCATTACAAAACTATTTTAATGCTTGTTCTCAGCCTATTGACTTTAATGACAATTTTACAATTTTAAACAAGGTTACCCACCCAAAGAAATTAAATTCATATTAGATTTTAAAAAATTATGTGAGATTAACATTTAACCAAACATAAATTAACTTAAAGATGTGAGGTTAGGGTTTAGCAAAACATAGGTCAGATTACTTGATACTAATTTTACAAAAGGTTAGGGTTTATCATGAGATAAAGTGAGATTTCTCAATACTAACCTTACAAAACTTCAAACCCAGTGCTTTAAACCTTAAGGAAATAGCTAACAATCAATGGAGAAATCTTCACCGCAGTTGAGCAATAACTTTTCTTTGTTTGACTTTAGCAACACATATGATTTCAAAAGAAGGGAATAAATATTCAAGTTAGAAGATTTGCAGGTTGAATACCCAATATTTTGCACATCTCTCTCGCGGGTGATTGATGATGGGCTAGAAGTGTTGAAGTGACTAGGAATTGAAGTGTTGAAGTGACTAGGAATTGAAGCGTTGTTCTACAATTGTTTGGGTGAGAAACCCTAGTTTGGGTTATATGTTTTCACTCAATGGCTCTATTGTATTTCTCCCATTGGGTTATTTTTATTTTTTATTTTTAAGGATGCAAGTGACAGTTTCCCTATAATAGCTGGTTTCCCTTCTTTTTATTTTAAACTCAAATAAATAAAAAAAAACAAAGGCACTAGTGCGCCATAGATGGTGCCCTCATAAAGTGACAATTTTTGGGTTTCGTAGGTTGATGAAGAGGTAAACAATAAACAATATTTAAATATAAAAAATGCCCTGAAAGTTATTATTTTGTACCTAATTAACAATATCGATATATTTATTAGTGATGAGGATGGTCATTGTTGTTGTTAGATTTAGCTGCGCCAAAATTGATTTGTTGTATCCTCAAATTATGATACTCGTAAGCGCAAGAGCCGTTCAGTAGGATATCATATATAAGTGTGAGGTCGATTCCATGAGGATTGATGATAGATTGATTCAATTTGATTCCCTGTATAAAACAAAAATGGAAACAAGATTTAAAAATGATTGTGAAAAGTACAAGGATTGAAAACAAGAAAGAAAGAAAATAATTAACTCAAGCAAATAAGTTATTAAGTTCAATTCGTATTCTCAAATTGATTATAGCTAAAGTATTATTAAGCCATGGTGTCTAGTCCTAACCTTGTATTCATATTCCCTAATTAGATCCTTGTTGTTGAACATAAATTAAACATTAGAAATCCATTAATCATAGAAGAATGTTTTAAACAACCAAACATGTATCTAATCCTTGTTGTCGAATGTCCATACATACTTTTCCTATTCATAGTTCAATTCGAATTAAAGCATATGGTATCTATCTTAATTCCAACAAAAATAACTAATATACAAGTTTAAATGGTGGTCAAACTTTCAAACAAGTATATCAACCGATAAGCGTAATGAATAAAAATAAGAACTAAAATTGAAACTTGGAAACTAATCAAACTTGAAAACTTAAAATAAGAAATTACATGATAATGAAAAAGAAATACAACTAAGAAAAACATAAAGGAAAATATAGCAAAATGGTTTTGTTACAACAATTGAGAACTTAAAAGAAAAACTAAGAGAATTTGAGGAAGAGAAGGGAGATGAGCTCTAGAGAGGTGTTTGAGAGCCCTATCTTGGGGCGTGTTTAAGAACTTAGAGTATTTTGAGTTAGAGAAAGGAGAGGAGCTCTAGAGAGGTGTTTAAGAGCTTCCCCCCCCGGGGGTGTGTTTGAGAACTTAGAGAATTTGAGGAAAAGAAGGGAGATGAGCTCTAGAGAGGTATTTGAGAGCTCCCTCCCTTGGGGTATGTTTGAAAATTTAGTGAATTTGAGAAAGAGAGGAGCTCTAGACAGGTGTTTGAGAGCTCCCCCTTTGGGGTATGTTTGAGAATTTGAGAAAGAGAAGGAAGATAAGCTATATAGAGGTGTTTGAGAGCTTCCCTTCTTGGGGTATGTTTGGAAGCTTGGAGAACCTCACTATTTATTGGCCTAAGGGAAGTAAAAATCTAATTTGAGTATTGCATCTACCTACAACACCCACTTCACTAATTTTACCTAACTTCCCCACCAAAAACAATTAGCTCATGCATATGTCATGCATGACAATGCATTGCAGTCTACTTGTAGGCTCGTTTTGGGCTTTTGACTCCATTGTTAAAATTCGGGAAAAATATGGGTCTTGAAGCTATTTTTTTTATCTTTCCAACCATATGTGGTCCAGCTCAAGGAAAAATCGGAAAGACCTTCAAATATTATTTTTGGCATATTAACGCAGATGCTGCCGAATTTGACCTTAAGCTGCCAAAACTTGCATAACTTTGTCTAGAAGATTAGGAATCATGAACTGTAAAATGCTGCAGAAAATAAACTTCCACATCTTTCCATTGGTGTATGGCCCATTAGCTGGTTCTTCTTGAGCACGTACAATCTAATCCATGAAGTTGATTGATCTACATACACAGTTTTGAGCTAACTTGACTCCAAAATGCATTAAATGAGTCATAAAGCCTAAAATACTAAAACAAACATAAAAGAGATTAAAAGCACAAGTTTAACTAAAAAAACATAACGAAATCATAAGCTAGAAAGGTACAAAATGATATGTAATTATGCACTGATCAATCATGCTCATAAAAAGGTTGGCAAAATTTCCATAAATGTGACGAAATGTCTTGCTCTTCGTGACAGACTAGCTTTTGCACTGAACAAAGGTTAGCGAAAGATTCAGGTTGAGGGTGACAATAAAATAGTTGTTGACTACTTATGTCCTAAGGTGGAGCCTCCTTGGGCCTTACATATATTCATTTCGGATATCCGCTTTATCATGCTCTTTCTGTGAAGAGGTCCAATTTCATCATGTTTTTCAAGGAGGCCAATTTCATTGCGGATTTTGTTGCTAGTCTAGGACATGATCTCAATCCCTCATGTTTGTGGGAGAATAGGATCTCATTATCTGTAAGTAAATTCCTTTTATTTTGACCTCTTGGGCATGCGTTCCCTAAAGGCTTCCTCTTGTAATTTTGACATTTCCTTTATACGTGAGGCTCGAGTTGCAATTTATATACACATAAAGAGCATGCAATTCTTCCTCTGTGACAAAGTGAAAATGCACAAACCCAACTATGGTCCCCCTATTCTCTACCCAATTAGCTACAATATTTTCTCGTTCATATGTTAAGAATTCACTTGAACTTGCCTTGCGCTTCACCTTCTCTTCCACTAGCCACTCAGATCTATACGACCCCTTCATATGGGCCTTGAGAAGATTTTATACGTATTGCTTAAGAGAAGAGGAAAGTTTATCCCCGCTTCGGATTCCAAGAATGCAGATAGGCCGCTTGTTTGGTAATGGTTAAAGACAAGGAAGCCGAAAGATGGTGCTTTTCGGCATAAGCTACTTTTATCAGTGCATCCATAGCCTTCCTCTTCTCAATTATGTCTTTGGTTTCAACTTAGCCTTGTTTTCTTAGTTATTGCATGAGAGCCCTTTGAACTCCACTGTTGCTCAAAGAATTAGTCTCTCTCTCTCTCTCTCTCTCTCTCTCTCTCTCTCTCTCTCACTTTCTTTTATTTATTTATTCGAGTTTTACTTTTAAGGGCATTAAAGTCTATTTATGTGAGTTTTTAGCTATTTTCAAAAGTTTTATAAAAACTGACATTTATGAAAGTAAGGGGTAATTTTGGCTAGTTTTTATAAAAACTACTATCCTACTCGGACAAACTCTAATTATTCTAACCCCACAAAAAAAAAAAAAAAAAAAAAAATAGGGTTGTTTGATAACCATTTCATTTTTAGTTTTATAGTTTTCACTTTTCATTTTCATTTTTTTTGAAAACTGAAAACATAGTTTTGTTTTCACTTTGTTTGCGCTCGTTTTTCATTCATTATTTTTACATCTCCACATATGAAATGTACTCTAGTTACCAAAACTCATATTTGGGACCTTTCGATTTGGATTCGACCGCTCCATTCTTGTGTTTGGTAACATACTCAATTCAAGCTTGGGAACTTCAAAATCCAAAATTCCAAAAAACACAAAATCCTAATTTCAAAAGATTCATCAAAAAATATATGAATTCTTTGTAATATGCACTTTTAGTTATCACTTTTTTTTAAAACTGAAATTTAGTTACCAAACAAGTTTTATTTTTTAGAAAATAAAAATTAAAAAAATTTAAAACTAAAGATTGAAATAGATATCGGCCAGAATTTTAAATAATTAGGATTTGTTTGAGTAAAAGATAGATAGGGAGTATAATTGACGTTTTAATGTAGGCCGTGCTCACAGGTCCTCATTTTTAATCCCTTGGTTGGGCGGGTGCTGTTTTTATGTTGAAAGACCCACCCAAGCTCTTCGAACCCAATATCTTCCCCCTTATGCCTCTCCATTTATCGCTCCACCTCCTACGTTGCCAAAGATCGTACACGCAAGAATTAAACGTGGGCTCAGCTATCGCACTCTCCCCCTCCCCCTCCCTCTCCCTCTCCCTCTATTGCTCGTCTGCTCTGTCCATGGCTCTCTCCACCGATATCCTTTTTCGCTGCACTCTCCCTCTATTGCTCGTCTGCTCTCGGCGGTGGTGACCAGATTGCACTTGGAACGACCGGAGTTTTGGCAGCGACGTTGATCATCCAGGTATTGTTCTTTCATCGAGAAATCTGATTCGTTAAATCTTTCTTTCCAGATCGATACCGTACGCTCGATCCAGATCGAAATTCGGAGGGGATGAGCGAATTAGGCAACTATGTACTCACCAATTAAGTATTAAGTAGCAGATTGAATTGGATTATTATACCATTATATATAGTACCAATTTCTGTTCTTTTTAAAGAATCATATACAGTACTAATTTCACGCCTTAATTCGAATGGTAGTACACAGTAAATTAATTTTTGTAAATTAGTAGGTATAATGTGGAGGTTTATCAGTTGAGGAAATTCAATTTAATAATCTGACCTCATTGCTTCTTCTAGGTTTGTAGTTTGAAACTGTTTTGCTTGAATTTTTGTAGGTAATTACCAGAAAATTAAATTTAAAGTGAATGTGAATGGATGGCCCCATTTTAAAGTTCCGCCTTGGATTCTCCAAAGCTCAGGGAGATTCGCCTCGAGAGATCACCTCCCGCAGCAACTTGTCGAGTGACACTGGTGAGAATGGGTGGCTCATTCGGTTCTTTGACTCAGCATTTTTCTGCGAGTGGATCGCTGTTAGCTACCTATACAAGCATGAGCACTCGGGGGTACGTGACTACCTTTGTAATCGAATGTACACTCTTCCCTTATCGGGTATCGAGAGCTACTTGTTTCAAATATGTTATATGTCAGTGCACAAGCCTAGCCCGTCTTTGGATAAGTTTGTGATTGATATGTGCTCTAAGTCGCTTAAGATAGCCCTGAAGGTGCATTGGTTTTTATTGGCGGAGCTTGAAGACTCTGATGATAATGAAGGAATTAGTAGGATTCAAGAGAAGTGTCAGATTGCGGCCACTTTGATGGGTGAGTGGCCGCCTTTGATACGTCCTCAAAGTGAGTTGGCCAGCCCTGGGAGCAAGAACCAGGTATTGAATAAAATATTGTCATCAAAACAGAAGTTGTTGTCACTAACGTCTTCCCCACCTGCTCAGAGGTCTTTTTCTTTCTCGCCTTCATCAGGGAACAATCTGCAAGAGGATGGTGGTCTGTTCTCTCCTGATGAGAACAAAATATTTAAAAAATTCATACCAGGGCCAAAGGTTCGAGATGCATTGCTCTTTAGGAAGTCGGTGGAGAAAGATGAGGATGACTCTGAAAAAGATGGGTTCTTTAAGAGGCTTTTAAGGGACAGTAGAGGTGATGAGGAGATGGGTTCTAAGATTAGAGATTCTTTGCTTTTCAGGAAGTCGTCAGAGAAGGACGATGATGATGCAGAAAAGGATGGGTTCTTTAAGAGGTTATTAAGGGATAGTAGAGGTGATGATGAGGAATTGACATCGAGCTCAGATGGATTTTTTAAGAGATTGTTTCGTGATAGTAAAAGTGATTCTGACGATAGATCAATTTCTAAATCAGTGGAAGATGAAGAAAAAGATGGGTTCTTTCGGAAGTTTTTCAAAGATAAATTTGAGGACAAAAAAGACCGAATTGATAAGAATATAGATGAGGATGCACCGTACTCTGAAGAAAGATGTTCAAGAACAGCTGAAGATGATGAAAAAGAGGGTTTCTTCCGAAAACTCTTCAGGGATAAGTTTGACGACAAGAAAGATGGGAATGATAAAACTGAGGAAGGGAGTGCCAATGGAGAGGAAGAAGAGCCTTCTGACTTTTCATTGTTCCGAAGATTGTTCCGTGTGCACCCTGAAGATGCGAAAAGTACTGCTGCCACTGAAAACAGCAATAATGGTGGCTTGTTAGAAAGTAGTCCAGGGACTGAGAATTTTTTCCGCAAATTGTTTAGAGATCGTGACCGTTCCGTTGAAGATTCGGAGCTATTTGGTTCAAAAAAACACAAAGAGGTAAGCTTGCATCTACTTATCTATCTGTTGCTTCGCTGGTAGTGGAAGTATGGCCTTTGTTATGCAGTGCCGGCTCTTTCCTCAACTACATAATTAATTAAATTATTAATGAGGCTGCCTTTTCCTGCAGTTTTGTTAGATTTTGTGCAACATGTGCTAAATATTTAGTAATGATTTGTTGTAAATTCTTAGATGATTTTTTGAGGGATTCTGTCAACTTTGAAATTCTTGAATTACACTACAATGTCTTATGTTTCTTTCAATGTTGAATGTAATCCAGTATAATCTGTTCAATTTAGTTTTTGATTTTTAGATTTTGGTAATTCATTCTCTTGAAGTTACCAAACATTAGATTGTCAGTTTCGGTCATATAGGCACTGCTATTGGCTTTGCAGTTCTAAAAGGCCACTGAAATTATGCGTTCTCATGTATAAGTTCCAGTTGCAGATGTTATGGCTACTTGTAGTTGTGGATAATGAGTTTTCTTTACTTATTGGATAGGTATATAGAAGTTAGCGTAAATAAGTAGGCTAAGATGGTGGATTGAAATGCATAACCTGTTTGAATGATGAAGTTGTATTTACTTATTTATGGGGGTTGTACTGTGGCTTTGATATATACGTTCATATGCAGTGTAGTAGGCTGAGATGACGGATTGAAATGCATAATCTGTTTGAGTGAAGTTGTAAATACTGATTTACGTGGCTTGTACTGTGGCTTTGATAAATATGTTCATATGTGGTGTAGTTTTGATATATGCACATGTGCAAACACATAAAGATTTCCTAGTTTATTCTTATATTTATCATTAAGTTTTTCCAATTATGGTTTAAGGTGTTTATATAACCTCATAATAACATATACATGTGTCAAAAAAGAGTGACAAGTATTTGGTTATTTTAAAGGTGCATCATATGGATGATAAATATATATATTTATTTATTTATTTATACTCTGATGTAGAAAAGATGAGGTAAGAAGGAGATTTCAGATGAGAGACTGTTCCCTCAGAAAAAAACATTCAAATTAAAAATGTATCACATAAAGGGAATTGGGTGCAGGATTTCAATAAGTAGACGTGGGACTAGAAGCTGAAAATTATTGTTTGAAGAAATGAGATGAGAAGTAAAGGAAAATGATCTTGGAAGAAAGTAATATTATGTTGATAAGGTGGTTGATTCTGTTAGATCAGGAGCCAAACGACTGATAGAGTATAGGAATGGAAAGGGCTTTTAACGAAACTTTTTTGTGGGATGATAATATTTAAAGACATGGAACTTTGAATGATTCAGAATTGTGGAGAGGAAGGTTAGAAGGTAGTGAGTAACTTAAAGCTGTATGGTGATCTCCATATATTCGTGGGGGAGGAAGCTTAGAAAGTAGTGAGTTAGATTAACTTAATCTCTCCATATTAAGTTCAAAGTTTTAAAAATGTATATGGATATACTGCATCAGCTGTAGAGGTGTGCAAATCTGAACTTCGACAGGGGTACAGATCATTTTGGAGTTTTTTCCTTAGTTTAACTGGTTGGAAGAGAAGTTATCACCCCCAACTTTCAGTAGCAGACGAGCTGCTAATTATGCTGCTAATTATATTATTTTAGTAGTTTAATATTATATTTTCTGATATTTTAGTGATGCATTGACATGATAGTATCTCTAATCCTACCAACATAGCCTCCTAGACTACGCTCATGTGCAAGATGAAGGGATTATAGGCAATAGTTACATCTATTTTATTCATAGTGGTTGAAGTTCTTTTTGAAAAGATGCATAACTTATTTCATGTACTGAATCTGTCCACTGTTTGATTTCACAGAAACGCCCTGGTTCTCCAAAGCAACAAAATGAAAAGTCAAGTGCAAAACCCCCACTTCCAAATAATACAGCATCCCAATACCGTAAAGGGGCTTATCATGAGTCGTTGGACTTTGTGCAGTCACTATGTGAGACGTCGTATGGTTTAGTGGATATATTTCCAATTGAAGATCGCAAGAGTGCTCTTCGTGAGGTTTATGCTTATCTGGCTTATCATTTAGATTTACTCTGCACACACATAGCATATATTTCCAATTGAAGATCGCATGGTTAATTGACACCGATATAAAACTAGTGGTTTTATTTTTATTTTATTTACAGATTTTATTTTTCATCAGTCCTCCGGTTGATTAATGCTCTAATCCTGCTAACCATGTGTATAAAATTTCAAGTCAATCCAGTGTATCTACATGGTATTGGAATTAGTAATTTTGTTAAATAACCCGCACACTAGATCTTGTTCTTTAATGTAACCAACGGCAATAGACTAAACTAGCAAATATTAGAAAAACTTAGAAACACACAAGAATTATACTGGTTCGGCAGAACTTTTGCCTACGTCCAGTTGTGATTTCTCTAGGTAAAGAAATCACTGCTCCTTTGATTAATAATATGAGATTACAGAACTTTTGCAATCCTAGAACTAATCTCAAAACTCTCTGCTGTCTCTGGCTGTTTCCCCCCCCCCTAAAATAAGCCTTGCTGCACCTATTTATAGATATAGAGTTGGCTTACATGTCCCAAGGCTGATTGAATTCCTATTTCAGTGGATTAGGAAATTACACTTATCCAAATCCATATAGACTTCTAGAAATCCAAACCTAAATTGAATAAGGAAAACTGAAATTCTTTCCTAATCCCTCTAGGACAAGAATCGGTATACCACTAATTTTCCTAAAACAATCCTAAACCAATTAGGACATATTTGACGAGCCAAAATCCTAACAAATTTTTCTTATAAATTTGATATTAAAAGTAGAAATTGAGTCTTGTTGATGGAATGGCTGCTTATATCATGTCAGCTTGAATTTGGTAACATTGTGTGCATTATTAAAGCACTAGATCTAGCTGTTAGTGTGGCTGAAAAGAACTGCTATAAAAAAGTTATTAAGCAGTATAAACTTGCTAGTTTTATGCTGATGCCAGTTTAGCATGCCCCTTGTGTATCTGTGTGTCTATGTACGTAGATTTAGATACAGTTAGGTTCTTCAGGTTTTCATATTCACAAAATTCATTAAAAAATGATCACTATAATGCATAATTTAATCAACTCTTCATTAACTCTTGTAAATTTATTAGTAATTTATGATAGAAGTAAAAGGTCAACTTGTCTAGATGGTTGGACCTCTTGTCCACAGCTGGATATTACTTTGTAGCCGTAGACTTTTTGTTCAGAAACCAGTTTTTATTTTTATTTTTCTATAGATTCTTTTCGTTTTCTAATATGTAATTTGATCTAAAATTGTAATCAATATATGAAAAATGATAAGTCTAGTCTAGACCATTGGTCTAAATGCTAAAAAAGTGAAAATTTTAAATGGAACCTAACTAACCTAAAACAAGTAATCTAACATAAGTTTTTTTTCAATATCATAAATACATGTGCATGTTTCTTTTTTCTTTTCTGACATGTGTTTGTTATTCTTGCATTTCTAGTCACTTGCAGAGATCAATTTGCACATTGATGAGGCTCAAAATAGTGGAGGTATTTCTTTAGTCAATATTCTCATGTGAAATGGTTTCTCAAGTTACATCTTATATTCTGAACACAAATGCTTTTCAGGGCACTCTGTGTTATATTTACCAAAGTATTTTTTGGGAATTGAGAAGATTGCAGAAATTTAGGTTCTAAAAATGTCAGAAATGTTTTGCCTGCTTCTATGTATATGATTTCTGACCCATTTTAAAAACTTATTGTACACTACTTATCAAGATATTGGTTCTCGATATATATTGTTTCCAAGATATTGGAAATGGTTTGCAAAATGTGTTCTGTATGTCAGTTTGCAATATCTGGCATTGCATCCTTTTGTCTGAGAATCATGTAGTATATAAGTTATAACTGATCTTTTTGATTCTCTTCTGCGGTTTATAGATAGTATTTTGTTTTATTCCTCAAAATTTTCTTTTGTTCTTTCATTTCCAGTTCCTCCAAAACTGTTTTTCATCTTTCCCCTCCTCTCACCCCTCAATAACTCTAAAACACGTATAAATATTTTTGTCTTTTCTATTAATGTTGTTTTGAACTTAAAAAATGGACTATTAACAAGGTCTGGGGCACGTATATGTTGCTTCTCACTATGGGCTTCGACTTCTACAGACTTTATAGATATGTCCTTTAGGAGCATTTGGCTGGATTGGAATGCAGCCATCTGCTAGCTTTCCTGTCAAAAGTTTATTTTGAGTTTTTGTTCTTTTGCTAGAAGTTTTTTGTGTTGTTTGGTCTAACTGCTATTTTGCTGTTTAGTTTTCTTTGGTGGCCATCTTGGCCACCTTTCTTTTTATTTTATTTTATTGTCATTTTGCAATAAAATTCAGTTTCCTTTTCATCAAAGCTTGAAAGTGAAAATTCCTTATTGTACTTGACGATCCTAGTTAAGATTCAGCCTCTTTTAAACTAAATCATATTTATTGGATTTCTTTTCAAGGTATGAAATTTGATTGCACAGATATGCATGTGCATATACAACCAATGCATAAAAAAATTGAGGGATTCTGTCACCTACTGTTCTGAATTGTATTTTACCCGTTCAGTTATCATATTCTGCAGTTTTTCTATGTATTGTCGATATAAAGTTATGACATTTATGGCATTTATATCAACAGTTATCTCCATACTTTAATTTAATATTGCTGATTATAATGTTAGGAGTTTGCTTTCCAATGGGGAAGGGGATGTATCGCGTGGTTTATATTCCGGAAGATGAAGCTGTTCTTTTGAATTCTAGGGAAAAGGCACCTTATCTAATCTGTGTTGAAGTCTTGAAAAGTGAAATTCCAGGGTACGCTTACAGTTGCTTAATTTGTGCATTTGACTATGATATAGTTTTTCCCCTTATTGAAACAAGTTTCATTGTTAGATAATGGAAGCAGGGGTCCTTGTATCTGTTTGAAACTGAGACATTTCATTTCTTTTGTTTTTTTAATTTTATTTTGTGAAAACTTATTTAAGCAATCCAAAGGACATATCTGGTTCTCAAAAGCTTTCTCGAGGAGGAATTCCTTTAGCAAATGGGGATGCACTTCTGACAAGACCACCTCCCTGGGCATATCCATTGTGGACTGTCCAGGAGGTCTATCGTAATAGTAATGATAGGATGTCGAGCTCGACTGCTCAAGCAATTGACCAGGCAATGTCACATACGTCAGAGGCAAAAGTGAAATTTGTTACTGTTAAAATATCTGTGGAGAAGAAATTGCATGGCCAGACAGTGAAAGCAGAGAATATATCAGGGAGTTGTCAACGTGGAGAGGCTGTAACTGCATCAAAAGTAGCGCAAGGGAGTGATTTGGAGTGGGTAAGGGTAGTGCTTACTGCAGATCCTGGTGTTAGAATGGAGGACATTGAGGATCAAGGACCCCCTCGACGGAAGGAACATCGTCGTGTTCCAAGTACAGTGGCTATAGAGGAAGTAAAGGTAGGCTTTGTTTGGTCATCAGCACTTCTTGATGTTAATTTGTCATTTATTGATTTCTGAATGAAAACAAGTCATTTATTCTTGTTGCTTTTTGTAAGTTATCTTCCAATGTTGATGGAATTGTTTCTAGAGGGACTTGTCTAGTTTCCCATTTCCCAATATCAATAGACCGATAAGAATATATGTACACTTGCACAAACACATACATATAGTCATTTTCTAAGGGGCAATGCTCTCTTGCCAGTCAGTCTGCTATTTTGTATATTGAAAATGTGTATTTGAATCATTGTCTTGTCTGAATGTGTAGCCTTGTAGATTGTCTGAACTTTACCGATTTTTTAATGAGGTGCTGAAGTAAGGGATGATTACCCACTATGTATTTTAGTCATCTACATTTGATTTGAATGACTGAGAAACTTTTTATTTTTTATTTTTTTATATAAGTTTTATTAGAGAACAAATCATGTCAACTTCTTGATATGTCGTTTTTTGTGTGGAAAAGAAACATGATTTTATTAAAGTAGGAAAGCTAATTACAAAGAGTGGATAAGGAATCCACAATCTTGGAAAGAAGTAAAAACAAGAAAGTACAAATCAAAGGGATGTAAAATAGGACATGCTGACTAAACGAAGAATTCTAATCTTGCTTCACAGCTGCTAACAAATCCTACATTATTGAAAAACAAGCATAATCTTTAAAATCAGTAATATGCTAGCCTGAATCTAGATACTTTCTATGCACAGATTAAAAGTAATGGTATTGAAGCCTCAAGTTATTATTTTATTTTTTTGGTTGAAGAAGCCTCGAGTTAAACAAATGACAAAATGGTGCTTTTGAAATAACTTCTGTATCTGTATAATTTGGATTTTCTTTTTATGGTGTATGGATATTATTATTTTAATCTTGAACTTACTTTCTAATTTCTTGCCTTGTTCATTAAATTTTACTTTCTTCAGGCTGCTGCAGCGAAAGGAGAAGCTCCTCCTGGACTCCCTCTGAAAGGGGCTGGTCAGGATTCGTCAGATGCACGGCCAGTGGTGAAAATTCATGAAAATTGAAATTGTGTTAGAAGTTATCTCATGGAGATGCTGAATTCTATTGTCTGACGACATTCACATTTTTCACCAGGCTAATGGCAGTACCCCCGAGGCCAGCAACGCCTTGTCTGGTGAACTTTGGGAGGTAAAGAAGGAGAGGATACGCAAAGCTTCAGTTCATGGAAAACTACCTGGTTGGGACTTGCGCTCTGTGAGTATTAACCTGCTTCTCTCTCTCTGTGGTGTTTGTATGCTTTCAAGCACAGTGAACAAGTATTAATCATGTTTTTGGTAGTGGAAGCTTGATATATGCATGCAAGGGAGTGCCTTATAGAAAAAAAAATGCTCATGTGATATGTTATTCTGAGTGTGCATTACTAACTTAAAGTCTCAGCAAGATAGTGAAGGAAAGGTTTCATTCATGAACAAGATTTCTGGTAAAGTTGAGGGAAATTGGAAATTCAATGACTACCCGTCTCACTTGAATGAGTTTACGTTGAAACATGATTTTGACAAATTACACCGTTCTTAAATTTATCTTCTGGTTTTTCTGATCAAGATGGTTAAGACAAAACTATTATTGTCTTTTTGGATTTTTTAGCGGCATGTTGATCTTTTTTAATACCAAACTTTTTGAATTTAAAATGATTTAATGGGATTTTAGAGTAGCGCAGCTGTAAATGACTCGAGAGAGAAGCATATGGTTGCAGCCCCACTGTATACCTTGCAAACTTGGGGATTGGGAATGAGAGTTTAGATCACAGGACTTTTGGAACAAGTGATTCAATTCCACATTGGACTACTAGTGGACATGAAAAGCTTTGGCTGTTTGGAAATAAAACAGTAATGTATGTTAACTTAGTCACCCTTTGAATGGGTGGAAATTATAATTGTGGTTGGCCTTTGGTCACTTGCCATTTCCTTTTCATGAATGCTTGAGGTGTTTTATGTTTTAGCTATGAAACTATTAAGTTTTAATGGCCTTGGTTTTTTTGTTTTGTGTACATTCTCTGCCATTCTATCAGTTGTATAAGTGTAAGGTATCATATTGTATTTAGCTTCATCTGTACTTTGTGCAGGTTATTGTGAAGAGTGGTGATGATTGTAGGCAGGAGCATCTTGCAGTGCAACTTATTTCTCACTTTTATGGTAGGTGTCCTTTTTCTAAGTATTTTTGTTTTTTTTTGTTTTGTGGATGGTAGTTCTCTCTCTCTCTCTCTCTCTCTCTCTCCTCTCTCTCTCTCTCTCTCTATTACTGCTCAATCTTTGGTTTGATTAGGTCAAACAATATACTTTCTTTAAACCTATTAGGAAAACAGATGCATTGTAGAAACATTGAACTGAACAGTGCGCCTAGATAAAGTGCCTTTCTGAGTGTCCTCTTTGTTACTTGTGTTGCACTATGACTAGGTGATGATAAAGAAGCTGTCTCCTGTTTCTTTCTCTTGGAGTTGTTTGTGGAGAATCAGTCAAAATCCACTTGAAGAAAGCTAGTTGGCACCTCTAGGTCTAGTTCATGCCAAGAAAATCAACTGAAAAACGGGTGCAAAATTAGGTCGAGATTAGAAAAACGCATTGTAGGATTTTTCAAATTCCAAAAGATCACCATAAAACTCAGTACAAAAAACCATGTCACCGTGATGATAATGTCATGCTGATTTCACCTTCACATAATTGTATGCTTTTTTCCTTTCTTTTGTTTACAAATTTCTGGACAACTTTCTGGATTGATTTGTTTCTGCTTCCAGGTAGAGTTTGTTAATCTAAGGCTAGGTTAGATAGAGGAGTAAGATGGATTAGAGAGTAAGAGTTTAGGGAGTAGGCTTACGGTTTGATAAAATCAGCTCTTTTACGATGAATTTATATGATAAACAGTTATTACTCAGATACTACTATCTGAGACAACACAAGTACCCAGTAGCATAATAAAAAAACGCAATATTTTAACAGTTTCTCCTTCACTTTCACATTGAATTTATATGATAAACAGATATTACTCAGATACTTCTCGTACCACCCTATTTTCACTTTGACTCCAGTTTCTCTTCCATATTTTGTTGATCTGTACTCTCGTAGTACATCAATAGTGCTTCAGTTCACCCTACAAGAACATGGGGTATCTTTTTAAGTATTCTCAGATTGGCAATTTTTTCTTTCTTTCTTTAGTGTCAATTCAGATTTCATGTCTCCTCAACTGCACTATAATGAATGAGTTAGCTCCTGCTCAGATATTCCAGGTTGAGGACCAACCATCCCAATATGTTTGATTATGTAACTCTCTACTGGGCACCCAGTGTTTCAGGAAATGCTCTTAGTTTGTGTTGTGTAATCCAAGGATGAGAGTTGCCCCTTTGTTTTGACTGCTTATTAAATTGAGTTGGCTACCACAGATTTTTGGGATGGGCTTAAGACAGAGATCACACTGTCCGATTTCACATAGAACTCCTAAACCCAATTTATTTTCTTTTTAAACACTTCAAATAGAACAAGATACTAAGAGGGGGAAAATAGCTGTTGGAGTGGGATCCAAATAGGTAGTTATGGAACTCGATCAGCTATAAAAGGCCAGTTGAGGTCCAGCCTTATTATAGATATGTTATTATATGAAATAGTTCAACTGATGTGTTAATTGAGTGATTTAACATAACCAAATCTGTGTTTTTGCCTTTGCTTCAATAAATTTCGTTTCTTCAAAAAAAAAAAAAAAAAAAAAAAAAAACAAATAACCTATCTGTTTCTGTTCAACCAATGTTGATATGTTCATTGATATTTTCGTTAATATGAACCACTATTATTTCCATCAACCTCAATACTTTCATATTTGTTCAATTAATTATCTCCAGTGGTCCCACATTAGACATAAATTAGACTAGTTGGCAATAATAGTTGATTAATGCTTGTTATGTATGTTTCCAAATTTATCCAAATCATTTCGTTGTTGCATTTTGTTTCACAGTAGTTGAACCCACTCATCAAAACTAGTTGAAGACTATAATCATTGGATTTGATGGCAGATATATTCCAAGAAGCTGGTCTTCCCCTCTGGTTGCGCCCTTATGAAGTCTTAGTTACTTCTTCCTACACAGCTCTCATTGAAACAATTCCAGATACGGTAATCCTGTACCCTTGTGTAAGTGAATTAATAATTTCAAAACTTCACCACCTCTTTCATAATGTCCTTTGTTGTATTATAGGCTTCACTTCATTCCATCAAAAGTAGATATCCCGACATCACGAGCTTGCGAGACTTCTTTGTTGCTAAGTATCAAGAAAATTCTCCAAGTTTTAAACTTGCCCAGGTAATCTCCAACCCGATGAAGCAGGTTGCTTTAAAAATGTCTTCTGATTAACTCAGCTTTATCCTCATCGTGATTCATTGCAATCTATTGCAATGGGGGAATGCCTGCTGCGTTTCTTATTTTATGCATTTATTTATTTTAAAATTTAGAAGTACTGATAGAGGAAGAATTTGGAAACTCTCAGTGGAATTGGGAACTTTAAGAATTGCCGTTAATCACTCTCTCTCCTCTCTTATTATGGTTATTTGTTCGCAACTCCAGAAGTGAAATGATGGTATATCTTTGGGTGAAATGATCTTTATATTAAGCATGGTCACTATGCTGTTCTTCAACAAATAAAGTAGCATTTAATTATTTGACCATAGATTCCAAAAGGTCCTGAGAATAGAGAGTTGTCCAGATTCAGGTTGTTTGTACCTTAGATGACATTGTAGGACTTGGATCAATTGGTTGCTGAAGCATAGCATTTATGATGAAAATAAGAAATGTAATTCACAATAAGGTATCATTTGAATGCCCTTTTTACCTATAAACTGTAGATATTTAATCTTTAGAGCATGTCATATGATCTCAAATTGTAGTGGCTCTTGTAATGTCATTTGTTCAATTACCTGACTTACAGGAAATGTATCTGTTTGAGGCTCTTTAGGCAGTATCTGAAGCCATGTATTCTTTTCGAAGTTTTTGCCATATACATGCCTTTACCCTGTCCATTCTAAAAAGCTTTATCATTACTTCTGGATGACTCATGTACAGCTTTTGACATACTAATAACGGCTTATTTGATATTGATGAGATGCATCACTTTTATAAGTTTGGGTTGATGGTCTATTTTCATATGTAAGTTGTGGATAAGTCTCTGCATCTGCTCCTATTCTGTCAGATTTTGATTAGTCTTGACAGAAAAGAACTTCAGAAGCCATGATGTGGCCAAATGTTGAAATAGGTTTTTCATCTTGGTCTGTGTATATAAATTAAATCTTAGGTATTCTCAATTCTTTTTCAAGTACCAGATTACCGAGTCTCATATCAAGTTAAATAACCCAACCAATTTTTTGGTCATCTAAATGAATTTAAAGAAAAAAGTTCACACATGTGGGAAAAAATGTGCAGATCCAAGAAGTGCAACAGCTCAGAGCCAATTTTATCATGCCACCTGGTTACATTTAGTTAGTTATAGTTAGTTACAGTGAAACCTAACGTTCTTAGTGAATAAAGAGGCTTGGATTGAACTTTCTTTCTATTTTTTCCGCAGAGGAATTTTGTTGAAAGTATGGCCGGATATTCCCTGGTGTGCTACCTTCTGCAAGTATGTCTCTCTCTCTCTCTCTCTCTCTCTCTCTCTCTCTCAACTGTATAACAAAAGCATGTTAATGTGATATTACTGTTATGGGGTTAGAGGGCAACTCAAACGAAATTAAGCTTCAAAGCAAATGTTAGTTTCAGAAATGGCTTGTTGTGTATATATATATATATATATATATATATTCTCCTGTGGACATCCGGACCTTATTACTACGCGAATGCCATTGTAAACGGGGAGGAAAGCAGGGAGGGGTAGTAGAAAATACACGGTGTCCACACGATAATAACGTCCGGATGTCCGCATAGGAGAACATCTGATATATATATATATATATATATATATTGTATGTTATGTTTATCCCACTTTGGCTATATGTGATCTCAAATGCATGTCACTGCTGGTTGGCTAGTCAACCATTACGCTTATCAGTTCTTGATTTAATATGTTTAGAGAAATTTGGAATTGGTAAAAAATTGTTCATGTTAGTTGCTTATTAACTTGTACTTCAAATGTAGCATACTCCTTTATGTCACTGGTACAAGGGTATACAGGTTTTAATAACAATGTAATTAAGAATTACTTGGCTTTCTGACAACAAATGTATGCTGGTATTTGTATACAAGATTGTAATCCCTAAAATTTCAGTACTTTGATTCTCAGAATAAAGTTATTTATTTCCTGAACATTTATCTAATATTGATGTGCACGAGAAGTAATAGTGTGGAATTGGTAATTATTTGCATGAGAGTGTTTTAAGTTAATACCAGCATCTGCCATATGTGATATAGATGTGTGTGAAAAAATCATATATGATAATACAGATTGAAATACATCTACTAAATATTTTACATTTGTTCTCAATTTCAGAAGCATGTGCTAGAGAGACGTTTAGTTTCTCATGTACTTTCTATCCTTAGTTTCTCCTGGTTTAGTCTTTTGAAGAAGGAGGTGTAATTGTTTTCCATCTACGTGTTTGTTGTTTAGATAAAGGATAGGCACAATGGAAATCTCTTAATGGATGAAGAGGGTCATATTATACATATTGATTTTGGCTTCATGCTCTCCAATTCACCTGGGGGTGTAAATTTTGAGAGTGCTCCATTCAAATTAACACGTGAACTTCTTGAGGTAAGAGATGGAGGCTGGCTTTGTTTATCTTTCTTGCCATATTGTGTGCAACAGTCTTTCTTGCTGCTTGTATTTAACATTTTAGGGTGAATCATTTTGCCTTTTAAGTTTTAAATGTGGAATTGAATGGACTATTCTGATTATGCTAGGTCATGGACTCTGATGCCGAGGGAGTTCCGAGCGAGTTCTTTGATTATTTTAAGGTAACAAGAGAAAACACTTGTGTATTTTTAAAATTTTTGTAAAGATGTATGTCTTTAGATGTCTTGTAAATCTCTTTTGTTGTCTTCAGGTTTTGTGCATTCAAGGATTCCTTACATGTCGGAAGCATGCGGAGCGCATTATTCTTCTTGTTGAGATGTTGCAGGTAACACCAACTTTAGCTGTTGATGAACTCACATATATATATATATATATATATGTATATATGTTTTAATATTTTATGACCGTTGGATATAATGTTAAGCGTATTTGTGGCCCAAATATTCCTGTTGTAGCGAGATGGCCAGTTTCAGTTATGGTCTCATAGTTTCGGTCTGGATGTTCTCTCTCTCTCTCTCAACTTTTGGAGAGAGAGAGTATTCCCTAGTTCTAATTTTGGACCCATTATGTTATATCAGGGTAATGTGGGTGTCCTGTATACCAAACCAGACAATGGATAATTAGATATTATTATGGGCCTCTCAGTGGCTTCAGAATTTCAGGAATTATTATTTTACCATATTCTTGAAGATTGGAGAGCTGTTGCATCTCTATAGTGTAGTTTTTATTTCCACTGTTTGGTGTTTGAGCTTTGTTCATTATGTTATACTGTTTGTAGTGGACATCTTGACCACTGATGGATGAACTGATTTTGGTTTTTTTAATTCAATAAAATGTTTCATTAAAAAACAGAGACAAAACTCAAAAGTGTGCATGTGCTAGTCTATTGATGGGTCTGTTGATGACCATGCAAGAGAATAGAAACAATCTCTTCTCACAAAGAATAAGAATCTTAAAAATGCCTCCTTTTATGGTTGGCTGACTCAGGCTACTGTTTGAAAATGTTTTTGGACCAGGACTCTGGTTTCCCATGCTTTAAAGGTGGTACACGGACAATACAGAACCTACGGAAACGATTTCACCTGAGTTTGACAGAAGAGGTTTGATTTTGTTTTCTTGTTTTGTTCTTGAACTGTATTATGTTTCATTGCTATGGTTGTAACAGTGTTGCTTGATGTTTTCCATCAGCAATGTGTGTCCTTGGTGCTTTCTTTGATCAGCAGCAGCTTGGATGCATGGCGAACAAGACAGTACGATTATTATCAGAGGGTTTTGAATGGAATATTGTGAGGTTAGAATTCATTGATAATCACATGGTTTTGTTTGGAAAAGCCAGCTCAGTGAGTGTTGGTCAAAAAGTGCATATGCGAGCTGGCTGTGTTTTCCTCGGAGGTGAAAAAGGGGATTGTTTATAGTGGTTTTGGCCTGTTTTTTCTGGGTGAGGAATTTGTAATTGTATCGGCAAAAATACATATTCTGCATCTAGAAGGCTAAAATTAATTCAGAAGGGTATATTCATTGTTCCCCTTGTTTCATGTAATATGAGACTCTGCTGGCTGGTGGGAATTCACTTATTCTTGCGGGAACGTTCGACCCTACGGACCCTCCTCCCGTTCGTTGGACTCCTCATACTGTACAGAGTGATTGCAATTGAGGACAGAGTAGAAATCCAATGGCTATGACAGCCATATTTACTACTGAGTGCCATTGCAACGTATTTTACACTGGTTTGTGATCCGGATGAGCCAGCATTATTCGTTTTGTGAATCTTCCATTTTCAAAGTGTGGTCGGGTTTCAATCTCCGTGACTTGGCTCAGCTTGGGTGGCATCTATACATGAGTCTGATTTTTCCATATTCTTGTATCAGAAAGCTTTGTTAGCAAAATGCTTGAGAATCTTCTGTATGCGATTGTATCATGTGTAACTGATCCCATTTACATAGTGAAATCTGTAGATTCCATTTTCATCATATTAATGGAGTTTTCGTGGCATTGAAGTTTGCCTGCAGTTTTTTGTGTCGTTGGATCGAACGTATTGGTAGCTTTGTGACAGCGCAACGTGTCTATTAAGTTTCCCTCAGGCATGCAAGGTTAAAGGAAGCTATTTGGATTTAGCCTCATAGGGGCTGAACGCAAAGCATTCAGATGGGTGTTAGGAAAAAAACCAAGTTATGAAAAAAGAAGAGGGAAGATAAATTATACTCGGTTTTTATGGTGTGGTTTGGACTTACACGTATAATTATTTAGTCAATTAGAAGGCCAACAACACAAGTTCATTTGGGTGTGAAGTCCCAAGCTAATTCCATGGTTGAATGCAAAGACAATTTGTATATGTACCAAGTAGCCTTTGGTATAATTCCATAGGTGTTAACTTGATAGAAATTTACATAAATTTTGGCTTACCCTACAATGATGTAGTTTTATTGCGGGTATGTTTACATCCTATCGATTTTTTATTTTTTATTTTTGGACGAAATGTTTACATCCTATCGATTGTTATAATATATATATAAATAAAAAAAAAAAAAAAAAAGAAGAAAAAAAAAAAAAAGATACGTGCGAGTGTGTCATGTTCCCAAGCCATAGTTACCATGTCTTGACATTTGTCAATTCTTCACTCTCTTATACATCAGGATGGACCAGTATCACCATCACCATCACCACATATCTAAACCCTAATTACTTTTAATAAAGAGTTATTTACACTAAAATTCCTTGAGGTTTTATGTTTTTTTTCACAAGCTCCTTGAGATTTCATAAATTACACGAACATCCCTTGAGGTTTTAAATTGTTTTACAAAACCCTTTCGCTGATTTTTTGCCCAAAGATTGATGATTTTATATATAAAAAAATGGTGATGATTTTCCCACTCCCTTTTTTGTTCACTTACACTCCTTTTTGCTTTTTAATACTTTAACATACAAGGAAGTATAAGTGGACAAAAGAGAAGTGGGAAAATCAGCCCCCAAAAAAATATTATCTAAATGACAAAGTTAGCCTTTGAGATTAGATTACACATACATTCATAGAGGTTAATTTGTCATTTGCATAGGTTTTTTTAATATATGAAATCATCAATTTTTGGACAAACACTCGACGAAAAGGGATTTTTGTGAAAATAATTTAAAATCTTAGAGAATATTCGTGTAATTTATGAAACCTCAATAAATTTTGTGAAAACACTAAAAAACTCATGAGTTTTAGTGTAGTTAACTCTTTAATAAAAGCACAACTATTGCAATATAGCTAGAAAAGTTTAAGTGGGACAACTAATTAATGTGTCTAAATTAATTATAAAAAAAGAATATTATACTTGACTAATTTCCAAAAAACCACAATTTATTATCATGAAAATAAACTACTATAAAGTAAATCTTTTAAATTACAAAGCGTTTTAGAAAACACATTAGCTAGTTATCTAAAGATAAAAAGTTCTACTAATAAATGTTTAATCTAAAGAGAGGAAGTTGGATGGACAGTAATTAAACAGTAATTCAGAAAGAAAAAAAATTAATTATTAATTTGGGCAGTAGAAGCGGAATATAAGATATATAGAAATGAAGAAGACAAGAGAATTAGAGCAACAGTAGTTACTAATAACAGCATAATCTCTAACAACAGACCTAATTAATATATAATTGGATCGAATTAGGCAGCCTTCATATCATAAGCACTTATAGAAGTAATATATATTGAAACACTGGCCAAATTAATGTCACCAAAAGCAGCAGCCCCAAGTTATAGAGATGACGTGGAGCAGGTGAGTAATATGCGTATGCATCTGTTTCGTACTGATACACATCCCCTGGCAGACCTGTCACGTAAACAAACCTTGGAGGAGGTGGCGGTACATATGGGTTTGGCGGGCAATCTTGAGTTGTTGTTGGAGCCTTTGGAGGAGGAGGAGGAGGAGGAGAAGGAGGCGGCGGTGGCGGAGGTGGAAGCACCTGCTGCTGCTCACATGGGTTCACACAAGGGCATGATCCGCATTTTATTCCCGTATCAACTTCTTTCTTCTGAGAAACCAGTGTTTGTTGATGATGATCATTTTGGTTTTCATGATCAGAAGTGGTCATGACACTGTTTGAAGACCAAATCAAAAGCATGATGAAAACAAGTGTTTGATGTGGATGCAATGCCATTAACTTCCGGAAATATTGAGTGAAAATACAGCTGGGGTTTGAGAGAGAGAGAGAGAAAAGAGAGAGAGAGAGAGAGAGTAGTGGGTGGGGAAAGGAATGAAAGGGCTGGAGTTTGAGAGAGAGACAGAGAGAGAGTAGTGGTAGGGAAAGGAATGTGTGTGAATTTGTTTAGGGGTACTTGTGTATGTTGTGCTTGTGGCTTACGTTTGTTTTATTTGAATGGGCTTCGAACCTCTACTCATATAAGTGGAGGTGAAAGAATTCAACTGACTGAGTTATACCTAACATGGGTGCTTGTCGCTTACGTTTAGTTGCATGAAAGGGTATAAAGAGAGAGGTCATGCGGTTAGGTAATTTTAGTTATTTCAGGGAACACATAGTTGGAAGGAAGAGAGGGACTTCATATTGTGAGCCGCTTTAGACGTTGTGTTGAAATGTTTTGAAAGCGAATTGCATGTGGATGTTGTAAATGCATGAGGTGACTTTATTTATTATGTCAACAACTACCTTTTCAATCATTCACATACATAATTTAATTTAATTTAAACAAATGGATTGATTAGCAAGTGTTTCCAATCATTAGCTCTACAATTAATTAAATATATATGGGTATATAATTAATTTAATGAATTAATTAACAAATCCAAGTAACTTAATTAGCATGCTCTGCTTAATGGGGACATTCAAATTAACTTACTTTAGGGATTTGTCAAGCATATTAACTTTCTTTAGGCATTTTGATAATTAAGATTGCTTTATATATCTCTCCAGCAAGAATGCTTCCATGCCCTTCGAATAAAGTCTATGGCTGGCAATGGCATTATTCTTCCACTTTTGCCACTCTCAACAATTTAACCTATTATTATATGGGCATTGTTGTTTGTACTGTTTTTACCGAACACATTGCTGACCCCCTCTCTAATACAAATGAGTCTCGCATACACTAGTGGACCCACTTCTAGTAGAGAGGTGGTCAATAAAAGTGGTACAAATAGCATTATTGTTATTATATATAATGTTTCACAATATATGTTCCGTCTGCCAAAAAGTTTGTAGTGAAGTTTTGATCAAGATCGCATTCCAATATGCTAAGCATTGAAAGTGGATTCCAAAAGAAGCACTCTAGGCTATGGTTACAGTTCATTAACAAAGAATGGAATCATATGCCCTGGCAAAAGATCAATTAAAAGACAATGCCTCTAGCTTTTTTGTTTCTTTTTAAGCAATGCAGAATTGAAAGAAAAGTAGAATTCTTTTTACCAGGATGAAAACTAGATGACCGTCACATGTCTAGGACAGCCAAACACTTTCAGTTTTCAAAGGCTAGAGTTTTATGCATTTCATCACCATTAACACCAAACAAATTGTAAAGTATATTTGAATGGCAAAGGGTATAAATGAGGAGTGCTAAAAGTGCAGGCCGGAATCTTCAATTGTAGATGTCACACTATAAGAAAAGTGTGGTGGTCGACGTCTTTCCTCCTCCCTCCCCTGCGCCGGCTAGGGTAAAAGGGGGAGATCTAAAATTAGAGGTAGGCAGCTTCAAGTGTAGACCATTTGTTCACATGCTACTCATGTGCCAGTCAGTTGTTCTATTAAGCAGTTAGTCAATTGTTAAGGGGGTTGCTTAGTTCTTAAGCAATGCAGTTATCTGTGTTAGCTTTAGTCTTCTGAGTATATATACTCAATCTATCTAGTAATTCAGATTATTCTTATAAGCAATGTAGTGATCGACCTCTTGTATATAGGATTCAAGAATTCTTAACCTACTTGAAGACTAAGAGAGAATTCTAAATAGTTGATCAATTGGTACAACCACAATATGTCAAGTTCCCATTTAATTAGTTAATTATTTAAGGGAGCTGATTTTTCCCCTTCTCTTTTCTCTACTTACACTACTTTTTACTTTTTAATATTTTTTAATAAATTTTGTTTTTTCTCTTTTCTATTCTACGGTTACTCTACATTAATTTCTTTTTACTTCACTTTTTTTTTCATTGTCTTTTCTTCGAGCTTTATTAGCTAGCAATGTAATGCACTAATTGAGTAAGAAATAATTAACACTATATATTTGACAGGACCCGACCCAAATTCCACTTTGGATTCTGTGTCGAACCCTGTGCGTGTCCAACACCTGGAAGGTTCTGGGCACACTTGACTAAATTGCCCTTCAAACTAAAACTCAAACATTCTGTTCAGGTTTGACTTTTGCCTAAAAATTGGCAGAGTCTCCCCTTGAAATTGCTCGTTTCCCAAAATTTACACCTGTACAAAATGCAATTCATATATCCATAAGTGTTCAACATGCACAATGTTAGAGCACACACAATTCAACAGCAAGTCTGTGTGGCCTTAGGCCTTATAGAAATCCTAGGGCAATATCAGAGCCTACTAATTAATTTAATTTACAAAAATAGTACGGTTATAGTAGAATATCCTACATAATGGAAGTAGATGAGTGGTGGGTGATGAATGTCTGGTGGTGGTGCTCCGGTACTCGATTATTGCCTAAGGGCGCAAAACATTAAAAGCTTGAGTGGACAAAAGAAACTTTTGCAAAATATATCAACATACTAACCCCCACTGTTAAAACCATTTGAAAATCCATTGAATCCATGTTCTATATTTGTACAAAAATCAAGCATGCATATTTATATTCATATAACCGTTCATGCATTCCATCATTTCATCAAACCATTTGAAAGCATTGAAAAATAATAATTCCTTTTTACCTAGGTGTACCCTTCATAAATCCGTCAATTCCATGATTTTTCTATTTATTTCCCACATTATACCGTCAATTCTAAGTGTCACCTAAGCGACACCTCCTCACAAAACTCGAAAAGACAAAGTTAACCTAAGCCGCATTCCTCACACAACTCAGGAGACACTTGGTCAACCTAAGCCGTATTCCTCGCTTCTCACTATCCGGGTATCCCTAGGACTCGTTGGGCAAATTTCAAACGCGCGCTGACTCAACCGAAGGCAACTGGATATCCATGGACATCATTATATTCGAAGGCAACAGTTTATTCGAAGGAAACATTTTGGGTACCTATGGTGGTTTATAAAAGTATTTGAACTCAAACTATATGCTTAGAAAGCAAAAACCATAAATAATTCATTCATGATTAATTAATAAAACTTTTATTGCGTAAAATTCATTTATAAAACAAACGTCCACTCACTGTGTGTCCGAGCTAGCCTGACTGTTCGAGGGTCCTTCCTGCGGGTTTCGTGGGGCCCGAGTACCTATTTAAGTGATTAAAATATTTAATTAATAAAATAGCTCAACCAAAAATATTTAATTGAAACCCTGACCCCTGGCCTTAAAGTGCGTGTACGTAACTTAAGAAAGTTCCTAGGCCCATTTTCAACAGTTCTGATAGTTGGAATGGTCTGAAAAGACCAGAGATTAAATATACAATTAAATTCTTATATTGGTCAACCCGGTCCCCTGTGGGGTCCACGACCTCTGGTTAATAATCCGAAAGTTCCTACTGGTTCAACAAAGTTTACTAAACATGTCCTACAAGTTTGGTCGATATAAAGAGGTCAGATCGCTCTCGATCGCACGATCAGACGGTCATTGTTTTCGTAATCTTTGAATCATTGATTCGGAGTATTCGGGGCTTCGATTCTTGATCCGTGAGTTCCTACACGATCCTAGAGGTTCCCAGATCAACATATTTGGAAATGGAGTCAATCCAAACATATCGAACCCGAATATCGCATAATATGTAAAAATCCGTTCGACCGTCAAACGATAACCAAATTTGAATCTGAGCATATCGTCATGCTCGAGATGACATGGGCAACATTTTAGAACCAAATGGGCCACCCAACCATGGCCCATGCGCCGCCAGCGTGTGGGTGGCTTGAGTAATTTTTGGCGATCGGAAAACCTCTAAACCACCGGTCAAGACCTATACCAAACGATCAAGCACATCAAGAGGAGTAAGTTTCATACCTGCGTCGAAGACAAATTTGGCCGTTAAGAGCCTCGAATGACCGGTTTTCTCACCAGAAAACCTAATAAGTTTTGGTTTCGGATTTGACGATTTCCACTTGGAATTGGGTCGGGTCTTTGAGGGAAAATACAGATGAGAGGTAGGGGAGTGTTTTCGATGTGATAACACGGCTGGTCGGGGCAACGTCTGGAACAGACGGCAATCGCGGCTCCAAAACAAGGCTCGGGTTTTGCTCAAAACCAAGCCCTAAATAGATGGTTTCGAAAACCCGAGCCCTAAATCGATGTTTTCGATCTCCAAAAGGTAGTGGGTTTTGAAAAGGAAAGAGAGACGAAAATTTTGGTGGTGGTGGAGTCGGATTTTGTGGCCGGACGGCGACGCAATGGCTGTCTGAAATTCCGACGTCGAAACGAAGAGAGAGAGAGAGAGAGAGAGAGAGAGAGGAGAGAGAGAGAGAGAGAGAGAGAGAGAGTCTGTGTAGGGGAGAGAGAAATGAGGGAGAAGGAGAGCTGGTCTGGTTTTAAAACCCAACTTTGTAAAATTTACGATTGTGCCACTGCACTTCGTTGATCGTAACTTCTTTGTTAAAACTCCAATTCGAGCCTACTATGTATCTATGAACTCGTATTGACGTGCTCTACACCTACTTAATTCCCCAAATTATTTCCCAAATGAAAAGTCAATTTTAAACCCATTAAAATACTCTCAGGGTAAAATTATCTTTTACTTGAATAATTTAAGAATTGAATATTAATTTAGGAACAGAATATCACAATATTTGTCTATGTAAAATTATATGGTGCACCTGCTGCAAAAACTCATGTTCCAGTAATAAACCTTGCAACCAAAGTTGTTGGTTTTTTTTTTTTTTTTTTTTTTGGAAAAGGAAACAAATTTTACTGCAAAAGACAATAAAATACATAGATAGCCAAGATGGCCACAAAGAAAGAGTAACTAAATTGAACAAAATCTTCATATACTCAATACTAGAACTCAAATTAAAATTACAACTTCAATAACAAATACAAAAGAAGATTTAATACAACATGAGTTGCCAAAAAAAAAAAACATGTTTGGTGGCTAAGAAAATTCAACCATACAAGAGCATACACATTTCCCAAGAGCAAAGAAATTAATCTAGGGTAAAGGTAGAATAGGAAAGAGTGTTCACCCGTTTTGCGTTTACTCCTATGATGGAAGGGCAAAATTCCCCACTGCCTTGAGAACCATAGACTGGTCAACAAGTCAGCTTTCTTTGGTGTGCGAGCGTGCCACTGCTAGTAATAAAAATTGTAGCAGACTTAGTTTGGAGTGGATAACTTGCGTCCCAAGTTACTAATTTCTGCAAACAAGCGATTGTGAATTTGGGTGAGGAATATCTCCCAAGTAAGTTCTTTTCTTGCCTCAGACTGGTGAGGACTTCAACAATTTATCTTAGTATAAAGAGGTTGTTCTGGTCAGAATGGTTGATGGGATTTAAACTGTTTTTAGGCGGGACTGCCTTTTACAAAAATATAACAATAAATGCTTATGCTAGAAAGAGATGAAGAGACAGCAGGAACTCCGTTTCTGTCGAGATGGAAGGTTCTGATCCGGGCTGGACTGGACCGTTGACAACTTTGACTGTTAGGTTTCAACTGTAAATCAATACCAAAAGTTGATTCTGGCATAGCTTCAATGTACCTCAAGCTTTTGTGAAGCTTTTGAGTGGGCAGAACTGCGGTTTCCTCAGTCTGCTCGGGCAAAGTGACTGTTTTGAAGGACTTTAGTGGGCTAGAGACTGCACTGTGAATTTTGTTGAGGTTTTCCATATTTGGAGAAAGCTCAAGCTCTACCTGTCTTGGTTTCTTTTGCTGAACCAAATTTGTAACGAGAAAAATCTCGTTTTGAATGACTTACTTCTTAAGTCTGAGCCTTGGGAATTCTGATCTGAAGCTGGTTTCACTTGAAATTCAAGTGGGCTTGTTGGTTGATTTTGAGTTGTCTATTTGACTGGTGGTTTCCTTGTGCAAGATTTTTGTTTGATTGGATGTTGAATTTTTTGTGTGTCTTACCCTGTTCACTCATTCTTGTATTTATAGTAAAATGTTTTTCTGGAGTAGGGTGATTCTGTTTAATAATGGGCGGCAAATCTTTTCAAAAGATATCTCCCTTTTTTTTCTTTTTAAATGGAAAGAAAGAAAGTAGGATTTCATCAGTTTGGCAGATAGGCTTTCAAATAGGCAATCACTTCCCTGTTTTTCTTGAAAAAGAACCTAATCTCTTTTCCCAATTTCAACTGCCCCTTGTGAGATTTCATCCGTGATGGTTAGTTTGATTTCTTTTCTGAACAGCTCCCTGCTTTCCTGCTTATCCCTCTCTGAGATTGTAGCTTGCTTATCTCTTTGGGAGAATTACCCTCTCTGTAGAATAGAAGAAAAAATCTCTGAATATATATATGTAAGAGGGATTTTGATCTTCAGATTTTTCAGGGTTTTCAGAATAGCTTGATGACATAAATTTTTCAATCACTTCTTTCATGACAGTTGCCATTGTTGACTTTTCTTTATCCCAGAGATGTCACGTGGGATTTGTTTCCTGTCTCTGGGCTTCCCCCTTTTTATCACAATGGGCCCGTGAGGCCCAGTTTGCTTTGATAAGCTTTGGGCTGGGCTTTTCTGGATTTTGGGCTTCCATCTTCCTGTTTCTCGAAGACCAAATTGCTTTGATTTTTTTGCAGCCTTATTCTGGGCCTCTTTTTCGCTGGGCTGGGTGTGTCAATTTTTAGGCCCAAACAAAGAGTAAGAACAAAAAATAAATAATTAATTAATTAAAAAGTATTAAAAAATAAAAGAGAGTGTTAGTGGAGAAAAGGGGAGTTGAAAAATTAGCTCCATTGTTTAACCCTAAATTAAAACTTGGGACAGAAAAAGCATGTACATTAACTAGGGGTGGGCATGGTACGGTACAGTACGGTATTGAGCTTGGACCGCTACCGATACCGGAAATTAAAACCGGTATGGTACGGTATGGGATTATCGTTTGCTAAAGTTCGTACCGTGCCAAATCGGTATCGGTACCATTTCGGTACCAAAATGACACAACTAAAAAATGAACCAATAACAACATTTAACATTTCATAGCTTTAGAAATTACCACATAACAACAATGAAAGACAGAGCATAGGACAATTCATGAAGAAAAGAGCATTTCTTGGTCAAAGACAGAGACTAAGTCCAAGAGTGATCTGAATTCTAATCACAAGGAACAAGACACTCACGTGTAGACCCCTGCATGGACTCTGATGACCACTCTCAAGAGATTGATGAATTGGAGAGAGTCAATGGCATCCTGAATGGTTGTGAAGTCTCCAGCAGCACGATTCTTAGCCACATGCAGAGTGTAAGAAAGGAAGAGCTTATTTTTGGCTGTCTTGAACACAGAGTGCTTCAGCCTTCCAACAAACCTCACCCACTTCATGAATTGCTGTTCTGAGAATTGGGCTTGTGTCATGTTCTTGGTCAAATGTACTTTCCTAGTTGAATTCCCAGGTCGAAGTCCCTTGCTGTGGCATTGTGTTTGGGTTGAATTGAAGAGAAGAATAATAATAATAACATAGAAAATATGTTGGAATGTTGGCATTTAATTTTAAAACAGAAAAAAGAATAGGGGCTGATATGAGGAGAGAATATGAGTATATAGAGTAAAAAAATTATATTTTAGTATTCGGTATGGTACGATATTGACCGGTACCAAATACTTGATACCGTTATCATACCATACTTTATTAATACGGTACGGTACAGTACCGATTATCTCCCCATTCTAAATGAAACGGTATGAAATCGGTATGGTACGGGTTTCGGTATTTCAGTTTTGGATGCCCCACCCCTAACATTAACATTGAACTTGTCACTGAAGTGATTAGGACAATTACCCATACATCCAAAATCTTGTATTTGAATCCCAAATGATAAGGGAATCAACCCGAGATATGTCGGCTGTTGACCCAATTCCACAAAGCCCGATTGGATGAGCCCAAGAACCCTCCAAAGTCGACAAAAGCACACGGAGTAGATATTTTATAAAATCTCACCAGAGAGCCCCACCAAAACCAAGAATCGATACTGAAAGAGAGTAAATAAAGATCGCAAATAGTTCCATATTGGTGTCATGTTTTGATTGGACCCAGTTGGATAATACCGACATAACAAACTATGAAATCAAAACACCTGTCCAAACAGAGGACACGTGTCGCACATGCTTTTGCTTAACATAACACGTATTTCTGTAGTCCTCTCTCTCAACCCTACCAATGCTCATAAAATATGCTTGAACAGTTGGAAATTTGTATCCCTATAAAACCCAAGCTCCCATCTCCATTAAAACCAGAACAAACAGCCATCAAAATCTTTTGATCGATCGACCGCTGCTTTGGAGTTTCCATTGATCAGATTCCTAGCACATCATCATCATGTTGTGTGTGCAGTGCGGCACACGTAGCAACCCATGTAGGTGCAAGGTGCTGGGGCCTACCTTAGGGTGTTTATGCTTTCTTGGAGCTGCCATTATTGAATGGCCTGTTGGGGCTTTTGTTTACATGTTCAAGCACGTCAAGGGGAAAAGAATCATGGCTCATCCGGCCACTGTTGTTTATCCGAAGGTCTCTAATGCCATTCCAATTTGATGCAAAAATTAATCCAATTTTTTTTGGTTAATTTGGTTGCTTTTGCTTAATCTTAATATGTATGTGTAAGCTTTCTCTATGTCTGCAGTTTTAATCTGCTTATCATTAATAACAACACAGTTGATTTCCTAATCTGTATTGAAACTCATCATTTTGTTCTACATTCTAGCTCTCTATCTGTTATCTGTTTTCTAGCATTGATTACCAGCTATATAACAATGTATAATAGTTAGTGTTTGGCTATTTTTAAATATAAGCGATAATTAATTTAATTTGACTGGTGATTTTCCCACTCCAATTTTAAAGTGTAAGTGGATAAAATTTGGGTAGAGAAATTATTACCTTTTAATTTTCCAGAGGGGAATTTGAACTTGTCTAAAAAAGATTAGATTCACTGTCTTGACCAATTGGCATAACTCGCGTATGTTATAAGCTGGGGTTGGAAATCCAATATTTTATTCCGTTATTTTATTTGAAATGTTTGGAAATAAGATCCTCCTATCCTAGTTGTACTTTGTTAGAATTTTCCGTAAATTACGGATGTAAGAACAAATGGTAATTGACCTGCAGCTTCTTTTTGGAATTCTTGAAAGATAATAAGCCAACATCTGCCATGGGCTTTTTTGGTCTTGCAGCTCGTGCCCCACCCCAACCCAACATTGTGTCCTACATCTTCCTACATTGATATGCAGATGATGATGAACTATAATCAAATCATCTGGTAATAACATAAATTATATGTAGTTAACATGTTGCAGATGTACATCCCCACCACTGTTCCTTTAAATATTTTATTTGGTAATATGGTTTTGCTTAGAAGCCTCTCCAATTTCTTCCTTCCTATTCAAACCAAAGCAAAGTAAAGTAAGGCCTAGATAATAAATAAATAAATAAATAAATAAATAAATAAAAAGAAGAAGAGTAAAAATCCAAAACACTCAATAGAGTATCAAAGTAATTTAATAATTAAAATTAAATTCAATAGGGTCATATGTAATTTTTTGAGTTTTTTTAATTTGTTTATATAAATTAAATTGTGTGTAATTTATCTATATCACATGTGCTAAAAATGAGTATATAACTAAAGGGTTCTGATCTCTTGGACTACAGGAGTCCAAGAGATTTGTGGTCACTCACCGTTGGATATGTAAATTCAACAGTTCACTCACTCTTGCACTCTTTTTAAAAATTTTTTTTGAATTATTGGATTAATATCCAACAGTAAGTGATCACAATCTCTTAGATTTCTGTGGTCCAAGATTTCAGGATTGAACTAAATATCTCAAAAAGAAACCTGTGGATGCAGAAGAGGCCAATGGCCCCAAAAAACTTGTGAAGAGGACTCTAAGTCAATCGGTCAAGTCCATGTAGCCTTGTATAACACGTTGAGCCCGGATGGCCCCCACTTTGTCACCGGAGCAACCGGAGGATGCCACGTCACTATAGAATGACTCACCCCATAGTTGTCGATATGAGAAGTACCTTCAAGAGCCTCAAAGGATATGTATTAATATTCATCACTTTCTGCACTCTTTAAGAGCTCATGCAAATCATAAATTAAACTCCAATTTTATTTCCTCATCCATCCCTCCTCTCCTCCTTGTAGCCATGGCAAGGCCTCTTGCTCCAAGCTTCTCCATGGCCTCTCATCATTTGTTTCAACACCCATCACATTTTCTCTTCGCCCCCATTGTAATTTTCTCCATGATTTCTCTCTTAATATTTCTCTGTGCTTCCCACAAGAGTAAAAAATCAAACGAGAAAAAGGAGGAAGCGATCACAAACTCCGAGTCGAAAGATGCAAAGTTCATTGCCAAGTTAAACAGCAAGATTAGTAGCAAAGCTCTGGCGATGGCGAAGATGGTTTCATGGAGGAAGATGGAGGCAGGAGAAGAAGATCAAAAAGATGATGATGATGATGATCATAGTGATGAAGCAGTTTGGAGGAAAAGCATAATTATGGGAGAACGTTGTACTCCACTGAATGATGATGATGATGATGATGATGATGATAGAGATGAAGCAGTTTGGAGGAAAAGCATAATTATGGGAGAACGTTGTGCTCCACTGAATTTTTCTGGGAAAATTGATTATGATTCTGAAGGAAACCTGGTGCCCGAATCGCCTGACCGAAATCACTAATCTTGTTTCTCCCTTGTTTTGCAGATGGCTACTTCTCTCTTGGAAAGACTCAGCTACTGAGGTTTTTTAATCGCACAAATATTTTTTCTTCTTTTGTGTCATGTTAGAATGAATTTTGGTATTTATATGTACCTTTAATTTTCAGACTCAATTTCTTTTTCATCATTCTAAATTTAGTTTTGCATGAACCCTTGAACACACTTGCATATAGATGCACAAAACCTTCAATGTTTTAGTGCATGAGTTGCATATTGGTAGATCATCAGATACTAATCAAAGTATAGTCATAGATTAATTAATGCCGTCATCATTAGTAAGGGCAGATCATAATCTTTCAGTTTGGAGAGAAAGTGTGAACGCCTGTTCTTGCTACAAGACTTACCAACACTGACGGACCCAGAAATTTTTTAGCGGAGGTGCAATATTGACTAAGTATGAAAAATGGTTTTTCGGAATAATCATTTTCTCAAGATAATTTTTGGCGGCTTTTATTCCTTACACATCAAATAAGAAAACTTGATTTTATGAGATTTTAGTATGAAGTATATATTGACTTAATGAGTCATCATTTTTAGCCTAAATCGTATTTTGCACTAAAACTGAATTTTCATATTTTGATTTGGTGGGAATTTTATTTTCTAGTATTTTTATTTGAATCCAAATGGGAAGTACTTCCTTATTTACGTTGTAAACTTAAGTAAATGGAATAATATAAAAATAAATAAAAGTAAAAGGACAAAGACATTTACTTAAATGTTGAAAATGGAAATAAGGTAATCTGTACACCAGTTGAGCTAAGGGGCAATTTGAAGCGCCTACAATGGTTTTTCCGACGAGAGAAGGTGCAGCTGCACCTCCTTGCCCCTTACTAGGTCCGCCAGTGCTTACCAACAAGTGATATGTCTTATTAGACTATCAAAACGGCCAACACGGCTTAAACTAGTGGAAAATGACATTGACTTGTAGACAAGTGATTTTAAGTTCAAATTCTCGTGACACATTGGTTGTGTGTAAGAAAAACCCATATCCTCATAAATTTAAAATTTATTTAAAAAAAAAAAAAAAAAAACAAAAAAAAAAAAAAAAAAAAAAAAAAAAAAACTATCAAAAAGGGTATCATGGGTTAAGGGTATAAGGATAATGAATAGATATTCTCACCCTCTTTTAATCAAATAGAAATATTTCCTTAAGTAATAATAATTAATTAAATTTAGCGCTCATTGTTTCTATGAAGAGTACTTTCATTGAAAAATATATGAAAATGATATTACATTGGTTAAACAATATTAATGACAAATTTGTCATTCACATATATAGTTCGAAGGGGCATTGTTCATGAGTCTTATTGACTTTAAAACTATTAGGGCATGTTTACGTATCAGTAATGGGTATGGAAGGAAAGGGAATGATTTCCATTCCTGACTTCTCCTGCGTTTACTTACAATCAGGAATGAAAAAAGAAGTGGGCCCCATCTCAAAATCCGTAATCACATTCCCTCAAAACTAGGAATCAGATCAACTAGGGGGGAGTAGTCGATACGATTCCCATTCCTGTTTTCTCTTACTAACTTCCAAAAATACCCTTATCACTTTACCATAATTCTAAAATTAATTTGGATTCTGATTTATGCAAATTAGTAAACAATAACAATGGGAATCAATCTCATTCCATTGCTAATTCCATATGTTTAGTAAACAGCTTAATGGAAATGATTCTTCCCATACCGATTCAGTAATTCTTCGATTCCTAAATTATTTGATTCCTTAGTTTCTTCATTACTGATACGTAAACATGCCCTTAGAGTGCAACTACAATTTTAGAGGAATTAATTATAATTAATTGGTTATTTTATTATTATGTCAAAAGTTTAGAAGCATTTTGGTTAAGTGAAATTTTATTCATCTTTTGGTACACCGTATTAGACTCTGGATAGGAGTAAATGGTCTGTCAGTTGTTTGATGTCAACTTGTATTATTTAATTACTTGACTATTTTAAACGGTTCAGGCTTTTAATACTCTCATTACCTGATTAACTAATACAACCCACACACCCCCGTTTAGATAATACACGCTTAATTATAAGGTTAGGAAAAAAAGAACACACGTTCTACGTGAAAAATCAGACACTATTTTTATCTTATTCTCCCTAGGATTCTTCTCTGCTATCTTCTCCAATGATTATTCTCTTCACTATTCTCCAAGTATCCATCTCTCTTTCTCATACTCTCTCAAAGATTTTAGCACTTCCATGTTTAATAATGTATTATACACGTACACACATATTTCTCATGTTTAATACACATATTTTTTACAAAAATTTCAATAAGACACAAAATTCACATATTATACACATAATTCTCACATATTATTGAATAAAAATACTACATATTTATAATAAAAAATCTCAGTTTTTCACTAATTGTTTTTATAAAAAAAAATAGTATAACCGTGCAGCTATACTCGTTTTTCTATTATTTTTTAAAAATAGTACAGTCGTACGGCAGTACCTATTTGACACTTGGAGCATAGGCGCTGGGCGGGTGTATACATAAAGAGTGTAGCAGTCCGGCTATACTATATTCACACAGTTGTCTGCAAAGCACACCTTCCCACCCTTATATACACCATTTTCCAACAAACCAAAATGGTGAAATTATAAAGTGCATAGCTTAGGTTTATCTGACAGAAAAAACAATATTACTTTGGCTGCAACATCTAATAAGAAAACAATATTTTGATAGCTTTGAAACCACATTTTCTTGCCTCAAACCAAGGACAACAACACAGGACCACACATATAACTAAACCAAGGATAATAACACAGGACCACACATATAGCCAAACCAAGGACAACACAAGACCACATATATGCAGACAAAGCTTAAACCTATAAAATATTCAACACACTAAGTTAAAGTTGTAGTAACTTACCATACTTTGAATGGTTTCCAAACCATTTAAACACTGTCCCTATGTGAAGTATCTCTATAAACACTTTGTAAACACTGAAACACTGTCACTTTCGACTGTCCCAAAACAGAACCCTCGAATTTTCAATAATGCACTAATACTTCAATCAACACTGTCTCCCTTTCAAACATGGCACTTTCGACCACAAATCAAATGTTGAAACATCGCAATCAAGAAACCCTACCTCATTTTCCCCTTTTCCCCTCCCATTTCGCTCGCTTTTTCCTCTATTTGAAGTCGACTTTCAGTTTCAAAATTGCGAAATCCTTTTAATCGGTGAAAATACATTTCTGCCCATGACAAGGTTTTGCTTTCAACATCGGCTGAATCCTTTTAATGTGGAAAAGACTTTTTTGTCCATGCCAAGTAGGACTTGTCCATGCCATGTCATCAAATTAAATGGAAAATTTGACAGAGATGACGGCAATGACGGCTTCTGTAATTGGAGGCATAATTAAAGTATGACAGTAACAATTTAGCAATGTGAGGGACGAAAAGTAAAGTTGGGGCATAGTCTAGGGACCATTGCTACAATTTTGCCATATATTTATTAAGTCTTTTATGAAATCGTTTGGGTGTCTTAATTAAATTTCTTCATAGCCCAAGAGCCCTATCCATTACTATTATGCCATTACTCGAGTATCTATTGTCCCTTTTTGATTTTTTACTTTTTCAAAGTTATTACCTATATAAAGATTTTAGCACTTTCATGTTTAATAATGTATTATATACGTATGCACGTATTTCTCATGTTTAATACACGTATTTTTTACAAAAATCTCAATAAGACACAAAATTCACGTATTATACACATAATTCTCACATATTATTAAATCAAAATAATAAATATTTTTTTAAAAAATATCAGTTTTTCCCTTATTGTTTTTTAAAAATCGTATAGCCGCACGGCTATACTCGTATTTTTTTTTAAAATAGTACAACCGCACGGCTGTACCTATTTGACATGTGGCGCATAGCTGCTGGGCGGGTGTATATATAAAGAGTAGCCACCCGGCAATACTAGATTCTTTTTTAATTTTCTTTAGGAAATAGTATAGCCGATCGGCTATACACGTGTTTCCAATTGTTTTTAAAAATAGTATAGCCGCCCGGCTGTAGTGTTTTGACACATGGCACCTATACGCTCGGTGTGTTCTTTTTTTTAAATATATAAATAGTATAGCCGTGCAGCTTTACTGTTCAAAAAGAAAATTTAATATGGGAAATTTCGCCAACATAAACCTGTGTCGACTAACTTTCTTCGGAACAGGTTTTTTTATTTTTTTATTTTAAAATATGAAAAAATTAGTTTCTTTATTTTTGTTTTTTGGCCTACTTCTTTAATTAAATATATATAATTGAGCAATATCTTAGCCTTTTTGAATTACTTTAATTACTAATTATATTTTAATTATAATTTAATATAAAACAAATTAAAGAAAAAGTCCACAAAATAATTCATTTATATTTATTAAGTCTTTTGTGAAATCATTTGGGTTTCTTAATTAAATTTCTTTATAGCCCAAGAGCCTAATCCGTTATTATATGGGAAATCATTCATGTATTATAGACATAATTCTCATTTATTATTGAATAAAAATAATATATATTTTTAAAAAAATCTCAGTTTTTCCCTAATTTTTTTTAAAAATAAATAATCGGGTTTAATTTACATCACAGAGCCGAAGAGCCCCAAGGCCCATCTTTTGATTAATCATATATATATATATTAAAAAAAATCTTAATTTTTCCCTAATTGTTTTTTTAAATAAATAATCGAATTTAATTTAAATCATAGAGTCCAAGAGCCCCAATGCCCATCTTTTGATTAATCAAATAAATAAATAAATATATTAATTAACCATTGACCCAACTAATTAGGCATTTACCCAAAGGTCATACCCACAAACTCCTTAATTGGGCCACTTGCGTAGCCAATACAAACTATTATATATCCAAGAATAAGTCTTATAAAGAGCTCCAAAGAACTCTAGTGTTTCAATGTGGGAACTCAAGCATGTTCGCAATGCCTCTCAAAACCAACAAAACTAAATTACGTTACTGCACACATTATTTGTTGTTGACAATTGTTGTTCTAGTCGGCAAAGAGATTGCAAAATCACCATCTTGCATTTTTGTTACAAGCAGGTAGAATGAAAAACCCTGAATTTCTCACCCAAATTTCCTCAAAGCGGTTCCAGCAATGAGCTGAGCCCAAGGTTGGGGGGGAAAAAAACAAAAAGTTGTTTCCAGCGATGAGCCCAGGCCTGGGGGGGAGGTGGGTCCCACAAACTCGGGCTGGCCCGAAGGCAGCTTAAGCCCGAGGTCCAAAACGAGGGCTACTGATGTCATCGCTACAACACCCGCTACAGTACCCCCCACTGATTTGATTTTTTTTTCTGTTGCCACGTGGCGTTGTCTGGGCTCTCCGATCTTATTTTTTCCTCCAATCCAATGGCAGCCAATTTTTTTGCAATAAAATACTGGAAAAAATACCCAAAATTAATGAATTTTTTTTCTATTTTTTTTTTTTTTTTTTTTTTTTTTTTATTTCAAATTTGAAATTTGAAAATTTGAAAATTAGATTATGAGATATGAATAGTATTGACATGTATGAACCTGAAAATCTTATCCGAAAATATTATCCAAATTAATTATTGTGGTAAAAAAAGTTGTGAAAAAAATAAAAAAATGAATAGTAATTGCCCTTTGCCATGGCAACGGGTGAAAACGGAAAATACTATTTGCAATGGCAACTACTATTCACGTGAATAGTGGCTGCCCTAGCTCCCCTCTTGTCATGATTAAGGGCAAATGGGTGGAGTTGCTCTCAATTCTCAAGAAACAGGACCACTTGGTCGTGGTATATAATTACTAAAACTTATGATTTTCCTTCTTCCTTTCATGAGAGCTCTCATCTGATCGGTCCCGAAGCTTATGTCGATTCTACCCTGGTAGAATACAAAGAGCAGTAAGGGTAATATTGACGTTTCATATTGACTAAGATTTCAGATACGCTGTACATCCAACGGTCCAACGGTCCAAAACTCATCCCCATAGCCAAAGGCCCATTCGATCGTTGGATCTGATCGACAGAGAGAGAGGGAGCTGGGATCGACGGCGAAGTGACGAGAAAAAGGCTTTGGCTTTCTCGGCCCTCACTTCTCTCAAGCTCTTGATCGACGGCGAATTTACTGTGAGTCTTTCAATTCTCTGTTTTCTTTTCCCCTATTTCGATTTTTGGGTTAGATGGATCTTATGGGATAGAATTTAGAAAAAAAGTAAAGAGTTGGAAACATCAAGCATTTGCAGTGAGAGAATGAAAATTTAATCTTCTAGCAAAATGCAACAAAGTTGAAATTTGAGGCAGCTGAAAGCACAAATCTTTCAATAATGAAATAAACCATCATAGGAAAATATTCAATTTCTTTATGAAATAATTATATTGTTGGGTTGGGAAAGAAAAGAAATCAAGGTTTTGGGTATTTAGTAAATGTATAATTGCATTTGCCAATGTGTATACAAATTTTTTCTGGCTATGTGTTTTTAATGTTTTGAATTTGTGGAATTGTAAGGTATATATGGACTTGTTGGAGTTCATAATTGACATTTTAATCTGTCATTGTAGTTTGGGGGGAGTTTCAGTTGGACAGAAACACACATGTCAGGGATGCATATTCACTCATATGAATTATGGCCATAATGTTCTTATGAATTGTGAATTTATTTGTTACTTTTCATTTGACAGATGGTGGTCCACACACACTCACAAGGGATGTAACTTACTAGCTTCTTCTGGTCTCATGGTATGTTAAATAGTGATAGTTTGTGTGTCACACCTTTTTGTTTTGGCCTTTACAACATCATTTGGGAAGGCCATCTGGGGTTGTTTCGAATCGAAAATCAGGCAAGCCATCAAGAGAATTGGGTCCGGGAGATTGAAGACAGTGCTTGTAGATGAACTCTGTGTTGACAGAGGTTATATGAAAACCTCTATGGTACAGGAGTTTTGCTAAATTCAGCATTGCCTTTATATGGCTTGGAAATGGAAGTTGAATACATCTTGCTATAACATTAACAACAAAAATTAATATTATTCTTTTTTTCTTTTCTTAATAGCACTTGATTCACCAAATTGTCCATGTTTATGGATGAAGAACCATGTGGACCAGTGGCTTCTTCTGCTAGTTTCCTCCACTCCATGGCCTTAATTTTCATTTTCTTGCCCTTCTCCCCCTCCATTAACTCTCTAACAAGCTTCTCCACTTCATCTCTCTTCACATTGTTATCAATCTCCATGCCACTGCCCCATTCATTGCAAAGTAACAATTGGTGTGCTGCTCAGCAATGACTGGCCAACAGAGCATAGGCACACCCGCAGTTAGACTCTCAATGGTTGAATTCCAACCGCTGTGTGTCAAAAACCCTCCGACGGATGGGTGGTTCAGGACTTGCTCTTGTGGGCACCAACTTGCTATTAGACCTCTTTCTTTAGTTTCAAACTCAAACTCAGGTGGCAGAATTGCTGATTCACCAACAATCAAATCCGGCCTAATTACCCATAAGAAGGGAAGCTTGCTATTTGCAAGTCCCCATCCAAACTCAACAAGTTGTTGTGGTGCCATGACCACTAAACTCCCAAAATTGACATAAACAACTGAGTTTGGTGCCTTGGAGTTTAGCCATTGGAGGCACTCAGTTTCTTCTTTCCGTAGACTGTATCCCATAGGTTTCAAAGGGTCTTTTGGTAAATGATTGAGAAGTAATTGTAGAGGGCCTATTGCATAAACAGGTGGAGGCATAGATGAAAGAGCATCCAAAACATGTGGCTCCAACGCATCAAAAGTGTGAACAACAACTGCTGAAGCCTTATCAACACTATCCATTGCTTCCCTGGCAAAGTTAAACACAATGTCATCCGGATCTGTCGTTCGAAAGCAGCTTGGGAGATCCCTTAAACGGATACCCTGCATTCCTGGAACCCATTCTATTACCTTGTCCAAAAAGCCGTTTGTCAAACAGCTCTCATCTACAACAGAAGACCCAAGTAAAGAAAAGTTGCATCATTAATTTGTTTAAAAACAAGCAATATATAATCATACATGAAACAACAATTGCTTCCCCATTTCTCTTTCACACCTTTGAGTGGCGCAAGTCCTTTCTCCATCAAAACAGAACATTGTTTAGAGGCCATGAAGCCGGCTGCAGCAATGGTAAAGAAGAGTACGACAGGGATTCCAAGCTCTCCGGCTGCTGTGATGGTGGATGTCATAAAACCATCTGACACCATACATGTCACTGGAGGATTATTAATAATAATATTGTTGGCACTGGAAGATGCAGTGTCATTGAGTTTTCTGAGGAGGTTTCGAAACGGAGCCAATAAATTTTTTCTGATGGAATCAAGAAGCAAAGGGATGTCTTGGACAGTATTTCCATCATCATCGGTATCTGAACTTATTGGAAGGCCATCTGGGATCGATTCATATCGAAAATCAGGCAAGCCATCGAGGGAGTTGGGTCCAAGAGATTGAAGAAACCGCTTGTGGTTGAACTCTGTGTTGACAAAGGTTATATGGAAACCTTTGTGGTGGAGGAGCTTTGCAAATTTAAGCATTGCCTTTATATGGCTTTGAAATGGAATCGGAGTACATACGACATGAGGCTTATTAACTACTGAAACTGAACTCATCTTACATTCTGTGTATCAGTTGTAGCACAAATGCAATATATACATATAATTTTACAGCCCAACGTTTTTTAGTGTGTGTCTGTTATCTGCTGATGATTCCAATAAACAATTGACGGTCGGCTTTGCTCTTTGTATTGTAGTTTCAGTAAAGGCCACATATTGAAAATATTCTCATATTAAAGGCGGCAGTTGTGAAAGGAAACAAAAACTACATCTCTAACAAAACCACTCATTGCCCGTTTGGCAGTGCTTATTTGGAGTAATAAGTGATTTTTAAAAAAATTTGAGAACCCTAGCCTATTTGATAAACTATGAGAAAATCATTTATTATTAAAAATTGATGTGAGAGAAAGTTATAAAAGAAAACAGCTAATGAGGTGCTTTCATTTTCTGATTATACACGAATTAGTTTCGAAGAGGTGCTGAGTTTAATGATTATACGGGGATTATTTTCTGATTATGCGGGAATCAGTACCAACAACACTTTTAACAAAAAGTTTACCAAATGCCAAACTGCTTTCTCTCACAGCAATTTGACAGCGATTATTTTCAGAGCACAACAATGTCAAACTGGCCCTCGGTCTTACCAAGGATTTAAAGTTCTTTGGCACGTTTGATTACAGTTTCTCTTCGTCCTCTCTACTCATTCATCAAATACTCAAGACTGTTCAGAGATAATTACTAAGGACCCTTCTATATAGAACTTAATCATCATGTAATCCAGCAAGATTGTTCAGCTCATAGACATAAGTGTTTAACAGTATATAGATAACAACTCATTGATAAGCATATGCTGTGCTGCTAACAGAGACAACAGCCTCGCCATAGCGCATCTTGATCGATCTTGCTAGTTTATTTATTAGACAATAGACTGTGCGCGGTACATCCTGCTAGTTGTTTTTTAATAGCACTTGATTCACCAAATTGTCTAAGTTTGTGGATGAAGAACTATGTGGACCAGTGGCTTCTTCTGCTAGTTTCTTCCACTCCATGACCTTATTTTTCATTTTCTTGCTCTTGTCACCCTCCATTAACTCTCGAACAAGGTTCTCCACTTCCTCTCTCTTGACATTCTTATCAATCTCCATGCCACAGCCCCATTCATTGCAAGTATACGTTTTAAAATGAAATTTTAATTTGGGAAATTTCGCCGGCATAGACCTATGCCGACGAACTTTCGTCGGGACAGGTTTTTTAATTTTTTAATTTTATAATAAAAAAAATTAGTTTCTTTACTTTTGTTTTTTGGCCTACTTCTTTAATTAAATATATGTAATTGAGTAATATCTTGGCCTTTTTGAATTACTTTAATTAGTAATTATATTTTAATTATTATTTAATATATAAAACATTAAAGAAAAAGTCGGCAATATAATTAATTTATATTTATTAAGTCTTTTGTGAAATCGTTTGGGTGTCTTAATTAAATTTCTCCATAGACCAAGAGCCCTATCCGTTACTATTAGGCCATTACTCGAGTATCTATTGTCCCTTTTTGATTCTTCACTTCTCCAAAGTTATCACCTGTATAAAGATTTTAGTACTTACATGTTTAATAATGTATTATACACACACGTGCGTATTTCTCATCTTTAATACACATATTTTTTACAAAAATTTTAATAAGACACAAAATTCACGTATTATACACATAATTCTCACATATTATTGAAAGAAATTAAAGTATATTTAAAAAAATCTCAGTTTTTCTCTAATTATTTTTTAAAAATAGTATAGTCGTGCATCTATACTCCTTTTTCTAATTTTTTTTTAAAACAATAGTATAGCCACTACCTATTTGACACGTGGCGCATAGGCGATGGGCGGGTGTATACATAAAGAGTATAGCTGCTGGGCAACAATAGATTCTTTTTGAATTTTTTAGGAAATAGTATAGGGCGATAATCGTTTTTCCTTATTTTTTTAAAAAATAGTATAGCTGCCAGGCTTTATGCTTTTGACACGTGGCACCTACACCCTGGGGCTCCTTTTTTTAATATATAAATAGTATAGCTGTGTGGCTATACCGTTTAAGAAGAACATTTAATCTGATAAATTTCACCGGCATAGACCTGTACCGACGAACATTCGTCGGGACAGGTTTTTTTAATTTTAAAATATTAAAAAATTAGTTTCTTCACATTTATTTTTGGCCTACTTCTTTAATTAAATATATGTAATTGAGTAATATCTTAGCCTTTTTGAATTACTTTAATTAGTAATTATATTTTAATTATTATTTAATATATAAAAATTAAAGAAAAAGTCTACAAAATAATTCATTTATATTTATTAAGTCTTTTGTGAAATCGTTTGGCTGTCTTAAGTAAATTTCTCCATAGCCTAAGAGCCTTATCTGTTACTATTAGGCCATTACTTGAGTATCTATTGTCCCCTTTTGTTTTTTATTTTTCCAAAGTTATTACCCGTATAAAGATTTTAGCACTTTCACGTTTAATAATATATTATACACGTAGACACTTATTTCTCATGTTTAATACACGTATTTTTACAAAAATTTCAATAAGACACAAAATTCACGTATTATATACATAATTCTCGCACATTATTGAATAAAAAAAATATATATTTTAAAAAAATTCAGTTTTTCCCTAATTATTTTGTTAAAATAGTATAGCCGTGCGGCTATACTCGTTTTCCTAAATTTTTTTTAAAGATCGAACGGCGGTCCCTGTTTGATACGTGGCGCATAGGGGCGGGGTGGGTGTATATAAAGAGAATTGCCGCACGGCTATACTAGATTTTTGTTGAATTTTTTTAAGAAATAGTATAGCCTTTTAGCTATACTCATGTTTCTGATTTTTTTTTAAAAATAGTACAGCCGCCTGGCTTCACTGTTATGACACATGACACTTATGCGTTAGGCGCGTCCTTTTTTTTAATATATAAATCATATAGCCGTGCGGCTATACTGTTTAAAAAGAAAATTTAATATGGGAAATTTCCCCAGCATAGACCTGTGCCGACGAACTTTTGTCGGGACATGTTTTGTTAATTTTAAAAAATTAAAAAAATAGTTTCTTTACTTTTGTTTTTTGGCCTACTTCTTTAATTAAATATATGTAATTGAGTAATATCTTAGCTTTTTTGAATTACTTTAATTAGTAATTATATTTTAATTATTATTATCAGGTTGTCTATTTTTTGTTACTTGTAAATTGGGTAAAATCCACTATGTTCCTTCTAAAAAGCTATTATCTACTAGTTTTGCCTCTATCATATTAACATGTTTATTACCAAAAGTTTGTACTAAATTTTGAAATTCTACATTAAATTTGTAATTATAGTTATCTGAAATTTTTCCTACATACATAGGACTAATACTTAAATTTTTGTATTCACCTTTCATATTATAATTTTTTAGTCTTATGCTAATTTTAATATGTTTACTAAATTCTCTAATATTTATGACATAATTAGGAATACATCCTATAACTGCTAGGTTTGTGCTAAGATCTACTTCTGCTGTGGCTATAGCTTCTTGCTGATGATTATCCCATCTGTCATCATATATGTATACTAATTTTTTAGTTCATACTTATTCTCTTTTGAATCCAGCTATTCCTATCATAATTGTTCCTATATGAATTTTTTGATAGTGTAACCTTTTGAGATGTTCTATTGCTGTGTTACTAAGTAAATTAAGAGTTATTTCTTTATCTATACAACTAACTTTGCGCTGGCTAATGCTACTTACAATACTATGTTTATTTTCAAATCTTCCTAATTGATATAAATTATATTTATTTTTATGAGATTTTCAAAACCTTTTCTAAGAAATTCTTGTGTTTCTTGTTCACTAGGGTATATATCTTCTGTTCTAACTATTTCTTTTCCTTTTCTTCTAAAGAGTTTCATTTACTATCAAATGGATTTATTCTACTTTTTCTTTTATGAGGATTATTTCCTAATGTTAGATTTTCTAATTTATCAATTAATTCTTTGGGTAGTGTAGAAGTAGTATTATGCACTATTTGATTGATTCTGGTAATTAACAAAATTTTAACAGGTTATAAAATGTTGGTTTTTATCACTTGTGTTAATTGAATTTTGTCCTCAAGGTACTTTACTGGTATAATTATATTATTAAGATGCTAAACTAAAGCTCTGATACCATTATTTCAGCAGGTCTCGGTCAAGGTTTCTAAAGGCCAAAATAACAACCAGACACCATGCATAGAATATGGAACTAGAACATGGAACTGCAAAGACACCAACTTAAAGGGCTATGGAGCAAAACTCAAAGGTCCTCTGAACTCAAAGGTTCCCTGATAGACATCTAGTTATTGTTATGGAAAATATCAAACATGACCAAGTGCTCAAACAAAGTATTGATCGTTAGTTTAGCAATATAATAACATAAATATAAAAGTGTTTCTCTGTTTTGGACAAGAAGTCTACTAAGAAAACCAGAAATAAAAGAGAAAAAAGACTCACTTAGTTCCTTTTGTTGGAATTGCTATTCACAGTGATTGGTGGTATTTAATAGTATTTAAAGTAAGAGTGTATTAAGAAAATAAGAGAAAGTATATAAACAAAGGGAGTTTTATTGAAAACTGAAGGAGGAAGTACTGAGATTTTTCATTCTCTGGTTGTACTTCTCTTCTTCGGAGTTACAAGCTATATACACCCTACTTCACCGACTCTGCTAAGGATGAGAAGAGCGGAGCCTCCGTTTCTCTTCGTCTTTTTCTTTCTATCTCTTATACACTCTTTCACACTTCTGTACATTTCACATGCACTCTTACACTTCACATGCATATAAGAAAACAAACAAAGTTTTCACATGGCTAATAAAAAAAGAAACAAAGCAATCTGAAACAAGGCTACATGTGTTGTTTTGGCCTTATGTGGAAGAGATGTGGGCTTGGATTTGCATGTCTTTAGTTTTAAAGATAATGGGACTTTATGTCTTTTTTGGAAATACGTTGGGTTTTTACTAAAATCTATTTTTTCTTGTGGCTGAACACGGAATTTTCTAAGACATAAAGATATAAGAGCATATTCAAAGGATAGTGGTGAGGTAAAATTATATTTTACGACTTAGGTGGCAGGGGTGGAACCAACACATAGTCTAGAGTGGGCTCTAGCTTAGCGACCTTTTAAAAAATAAAATAAAATTAGAGGCTATTGTGTTTATGAGGGCTAGTGGGAGTTATGTGGCCAAGGAATTGGTGGCTGGCTGTTGTGCTTATTTGGTTCAGTGTTATTCTGGCTGTTCCTTTTATTATTTTTTAATTATTTTTTTCAATGTCTATTTCTTGTGTAGTCTAATTTCCTATTCAATAAAGTATCTTTGTTTCCCATTCAATAAAGTATCCTAGCTTGATATGAATGCTCAATATAAAGTGGAAACAGGTCGTTCTTGTTAGCAAAAGGACAATATTACAGTTGTGCATCATTACCACTTTGACATATTCAATGATGCAATAGATTTTCAATTGGCAGAGTTGAACAGTAGGTTCAGTGAAGGGGCAATGGAACTTCTTATTCTTAGTTCAGCTTTGGACCCTAGTGTTTCTTTAAAATAATTTAACATTGATAAAATTTGCAGCCTTTGCAGAGAGATTTTATCCTCAAGATTTCACTCCAAAAGAGTTACATATTTTGAGATACCACTTGAAACTTTACGAGGTAGATGTACCTCATCATCCTGTACTTCAAAAAGTGTCTACATTTTCTGAATTATGTCGGGGATTAGTTGAAACAAAAAGGTCAAAAAGATATTGTAACAAAAAAAGAAGGTAAAAAAGATATCATTTGTTGATCCGTCTTGTGCTAACTCTCTTTGTTTCTACGACAACTACTGAACGAGCTTTTTCAACTATGAAACTTGTTAAAACAGCTCTTCGCAACAAGATGGAGAATGAGTTTACAGTAGATTCTATGGTTGTCTACTTAGAAAAAGAACTTGCTGACAATATCAATTTAGATGTAATAACAAAAGATTTCAATTCTCTCAAGGATCGCAGGGCACAACTTCAATAAGTACACTTTTTAATTATGTTGTGCATACTTTGCTTGGTTTATACTTTTATTTGATTTAATGTATGCTATTAGCATAGTTTATATGATTTAATGCATAATTTTATTTTAATTAAAAAATTTAGATAGCCCACTTGTCAAAAAATTCATGATTCCGCCCTTGTTAGGTGGCATGTGTCTTACCCATTTGCCTAGAAACAAAGTCGAACAACGAAAACGTCAAAACATGACCCAAAACAAAACAGAAAGCCCAAATTGTAGCAAACTCTGGCATGAAGCAATGAAAGTGTGGAAGCCCCAAATCAACCAAAACCCTAAAACTGAACATGCAAAAAAGCTAGAAATCCCCCAAAGAACCCACTTCACACTGATGGAACCCAAAACCGCACCAAAGAGACTGCAACCACAAAGCCAACAACCAGCCCACAGCCAGCAATGCAAGCATCCTAGTCAAAACTCTACATACCTTCGGAGAAATACACGAAAACTCGCGTTTAGGGCGATTAGGTGTGAACATGGATTAATGTTGGAATGAGGGAGGAAAGAGGGAGACTGAGCAAGTGATGAGGTGAGCTGAGCAGGGAGAGATGGATGGGGAGTGGAGGGTACCTATGGATGCGTTCGTTTCCAAATGGTATCATGGGTAGTTAAGGCTATGATAATGAATACATATTTTCACCCTCTCTATTAATAAAATATAAATATTTCCTTAAGTAATATTAATTAATTAAATTTAGCACTCAATGTTTCTATGAAGAGTACTTTTATTGAAAAATATATGAAAATGATACAAAAATTACATTGGTTAAACCATATTAATGATAAATTTGTCATTCACATATATAGTTCCAAGGGGCATTGTTCATTCACGGGTCTTACTAATTTTTTTTAATACAAGTGATAGTCTAGACTAAAGGGGAGGGGGATTTCTCTCTCTCTCTCTCTCTCTCTCTCTCTCTCTCTCTCTCTCACACACACACACACACACACACACACAGACAAAACTAAGATGCCATGAGAATTCGAACATGAGACTTCTTGTCTGCAAATCAAGACTCTTTTCCACTAGGCTAGATCCCATTGGCTTACTGACTTAAAACTATTGGAGTGCTACAATTCTAGAGGAATTAATTCTAGTTTATTGGTTATTTTATTATTATATATATATGTCACAAGTTTGAGACTAGCAGGTTAAGGTTCTATCTGATTCTATATAGTCTCCACGTAGTTTATGTTATTTTGTTTTTTGATTTGAATTAATCTTGGTTTTTTAAATTTATGGTCAGTTCCTATTTGAATGTCACCGATTTTTTATTTATTTATTTATTTTTCATTATTATTATTTTTTTGTAATAGAGGTGCACAATTTAGATTTTCGCCCCAAGTCCTAGAAAACTCAAGACCGGCCCTGTTCCTCTCTATATACGTTCCACAATGGAGATGACATACAACGTAGAATGTGTAAATACATATATTTTGGAACACTGATATGTTGTGTATGCATGTTCTCTAATCGCCCTTTGACTACACAAAAAATGCGAGAACACATTTGAGTTGAGAATCACTTTGAATTGGGCAAATTATAATTTATACATCCCTATCAACATGAGAAGCTCTTTTGAGACAGAAAACCTGTCTTCCATACAAGAGCCACTAGATGTTAACAAAGTAATAATTTTACAGGAGCTAATAATATCATACTATATATGCAAAAAGAAAGTATGTTTCATATATATACAAATTAAGGACACCTTCTTGTCCTGATGAAGGTGGATTGCAATTTTTGTGACTTCTGATTGGCTTCTATTGAGGAGCTGTATCTAAACGAATTTCTCCTTCTTCCATAGGAACAAAACTCACTCGCTTCTGCAAATTCATGTGTAATTCATGTAAGATATATTGTCTGCAACAATATGATGTAGTAAACTACTCATGTCATATAAAACCATAAAAAGTATGATTGTATTTGGAAAGAAAGAAAATGTATGAATGCAGTAGTCACAAATAATTATATTTATCTCTGCTGATGGATTCCGTCAAAGAATCTTTCAATTTGCAGAAGTGGCACGTATGAGGAGCTTACAAATTCAATAATATTACGCCACGAGTATGAAATATAACAGATGCATTTTTTAAAAATAGTTTTAATTTTAGATAGTAAATTTTAGGCATAAAAGATCCAACAAGAATAATCGACTCCATGATGTAATATACTGCTTTCCCCATGGCTACTTTGCTTCCATGACATTGTATTTAATATTTATTTAGTAGTACAATGTACAGACAAGTACTTAGCAAAAATAAAATGTCATAAGCAAGAGATTACGTAGACAATTGTGATTGGTATTTGTCAAAGATCGGGAAAATATATAAAATATTTGACCATTTTTACAGGCCAAATAAAAAAACATTTGACCTTTTTTTGTGGGAGGTTATGAGAGTTTTCCATGTCGGTGCATTATACAACTACCAAAACATTTGTGGTTGGCATAAATTGCCGAGTGAGATAGAATAATGCTATTTGGAGTGACCAAATTCTCCCCTCTACCCCACCCCCTCTTTTTTTTTGCCTGGGGATCCATGTTTTCCTTCCCCTTCTCATTGCAGGGCTCCTCCTATTGTAAAGAGCCCTCCTCTAGACGCCGTCACTATAATATTAGAGTCATCAAGTGTAGGATACCCTTAAAAGAGATCAAATATATAAAAAAAACTCTGAGTCACCTAACCATTTGTCTATAGCAACCCAAAAAGACAAATTTCACGTACTTATCCACATGTGTACATCCCCATTTACATTCTAAGGCTTTGACATAGAGGCTTATTTTTTTGTCATTCGTTAAGAAGAGGGAGGGAAAATATTATATTGGATTGCCTCAAGATTGTCCTCTACGTAAATCGAATTCGAGCGTGCTTAGAAGGAAGATGAGAGTTTGACCCACTTTTCCAATGTGGTGCCACAACATATACGACATGTGGACTTTTATTTAATAATCTATTATATATTTACAATAAAGAAATTAGTGAAGCTCCATATCTCTCATAACGGCAGAGTTGACCAAAATAGAAAATTGTACAAGCCCTCATAAGTCAAATTTGAGTTCCATCTAATCTGAGTGTATTAAAAACTAATTAGGGTAGGAAGAAGGAACAATGCCATTTATTCTTGTGACGTTTTCCATGTACTTGTTGAAGTATTATTGGTATTAAAGAATTGATGTGTGATTATGGTGTTTCATTTGTTAATATCCTCCTCCTAAAGCTCATTTAACTTCTATACAAAATTACTCTTAACTTTTTCTCCCCTTCTAATTTGAGGATTAAAAATTTATAAAGCTTTTAGATGCCTATTCAGACATAAGTGCTTCTATTTAGCAAGTGCTTCACGTGAATCGAATGGTTTTCCCCACTAAAAAATAGAAAAAAGTAACTAATTAAATATCTTCTTTGTTTTTTTTGTTAAAGGAAAGGAAGCAGACAAATGAGGAAAAAGATAATACCTCATGCCGCGGCTTGAGGTTCTCTTTGACTCTGATGCCACCATGGCCGGCCACTTTCCGCTGCTGCAAGACACCTTGTTCACCCTCCTCCTCCACCATGTCCGCATCCACCTTCCCACCATTATTAGCCATATAAAGCTCTATAATCCTCTCAGCAATTTCTGCGTCATCATTGCTCTCTTCAACCAATTTTACCATTTGAGCCCTCGGCACCCTCACCTTCATCCTAACCGGACCTTCAGAGCCGGCCGACGCGGCTCGGACACTCGTAAGGTCCGAAACTGACCTTCGAGACAGCATCAGGCACTCAAGCCTATCCTTGGCACTCACTTGAATGCCTGAACGCACTCTTCTTGGCACTTGTTTCTCTTCCTCTGGAAACTTTGGCAGTTGTACTAGGAAGTATATTTTCTTGGGCCTTAGGTCTTGTTGCGGTTCCAATGGCTTTGCTTTCACACCAAAGTGCTTTACAGCTTCTGAGTTCAAAAGCACATGGCCTGGATAGTCCTTCACCACATCCCATGCTCTTATTGGGGTTTTGACCTTGAAGGTTTCCCCACTGATCTTCATCACCTTTGCTTTGTTTCTTCCTCCAATTGTGTTCCCCATGTTATTAGTTTGAGATATCTCTCAATGTAAGATAAGATTCTTGTATACGAAAACAAATATTCATATATATGTTAATTTATGATGTGAAAATGGGGAAATTAAATGAGATTCCTCTATCGGGTTTGTGTGTGAAACTGGAATATTATAAGCTCCATAACGACAAAACTTTGCTCGGTAATGGAAAGTCATCATGGTATATGGCTACTAGGCCAACCATGTTTTCTGCTTTTGGAGATGCCCATTGAGAAAAGTGGTGGCTATCTTTTCATCTTTTATATTAATATAATATATGTTCATATTTCATGTCTTTCTTTTCGAGATGAAGTTTGGGCTTTCCTTGTTTTTTTCAGGACAACGTTTTTCATTGGGGAACATTTGAAACGGATAAGATACGTTGAATGGGAGCCGATTTCATCGATCCGCTTGCATCAGGTGCCTCTGTTCGTATTTGACTTCTCTACAGTTTGACAAAGTTTGTAAAATTGTACTCAAAGGAAGAATATTTATTACCGGATGATTTTCTCTTTACAATGTCAGGGTATTTATTTATACATAGGTTTCTTTACAATTAAGAGACTAATAAGGCATTGTTTGGTGGGCTGGATTAGATTGGATATTCTCAATTAAAATGGACATGGGTCCTAGCCATTGTTTGATGAGTTTTAAGTGTCTTGAACTGAACAATATTGCACACCACCCGTTAACATGACACGAATTCGCACTAAATTATCAGTATTTGAGTTGAGCTTAATGGGTTTGGTTGAAAATGGGTGAACCCGTTAGTCACCCGTTAAGCTAATGGGTTGGGTTGAGTCAATTCGCAAATATTCACATCCACCCGTTAAGGAGGGTCATTCCTCTTTGTTTTTGTTTTTGTTTTTGGTTCTTATCCTTCTACCTCCATCTCTCCATCTCTCCCTCTCTCCCTCTTTTTATTTATTTTAAATATTCCTCTTCCTCTCTCATCTCTTTTCTTCTTCTTTTTCTCTCCATCTCTTTTTTATTTTTCCTTTTCTTCTTCTTTTCTCTGTCATTCTCCATCTCTCCTTTGTTTTCTTCTCTTCTTTTTCATCTCTTCCTCTCTATCTTTTTTTTCAATTTTATAATAAATAATCTAAGCTAATCTAATCAACCATTTTTTTATCTTCTTGTGACCTCCCACTCTCTCTTCTTCTTCTCTCCATATTTTTTTTTCCTTTTCTTCTTCCTCTTTCTGTCATTCTCCTTCTTTTTTTTTTTTTTTTTTTTTTTTTTTTTTTTTTTTTTTTTTCTTCTTCTTTTCTCGTCTCTTCCTCTCTGCCTTTTTTATATATAAATAATCTAATCTAATCAACCATTTTTTCTCTTCTTATTTTTCTTTATGTAAGTTTTATGGATGTTGTTCATGAGAGGGAAATTGAGGGAAAAAGGACAGAGAGTGGTTGTAGGCTGTGTGTTTTTTTTTCCTTTAATTTTTTTTTTCTTCTGGTTTATTCTAAACGGGTCGTGTCGGATCATTCATGAATTGTAACGGGTCGTATTGGGGTCTGATATTTTTCACCATTTAAATTAATGGGTCGTGTTGTGTCAACCCGTTAAGTTAACGGGTTGACACGAACACGACCCGAAACCCGTTAACAAGACCTATTTGCCAGGTCCCATTAGAATCCAAGGCTTTTCCAGGCAAGCCCCTTCTCTCTTATCTTGGCGAGACCAAGCATGCCTCTTCTCTTAGCGAGACCAAACAAGCCTCTTCTAAAGTTCTTCTCCTCTCTCATCCCCTCTCCCCTCTTTATTCTCCTTTCTCTTCCCCTCTCCCCTCTCTATTCTCCTCTTCTCTGATAATTTGAAAGAACTCCTTTTTTGATTTTGTTGTTAGATATTGAGATGTGTTGATGATGTTGAGCGCTTTGATTTTTTATTTTTTTTTCCTTTTGGGTTTGATTTCTTTTGATTGAAGATTTTTTCAGATATGGTATTGGGGTTCCATAATTTGCATAATTCCTTCTTTTTTTCTTCTGAGTGTTGTTCTTCAGTTTGTGCTTTATTGAATTTGAAAGTTATTCCATCGATTTTTTTTTTCTTTTGTTCCAAATTACAATTTTTTTTTGGCTAACTACCATTTATTTCTCTCTTGTAATTATCTTCTTGTAAAATTTAAATAATAGAAAAAGGGTTCTGATTAAATTTTTTTTTAAAAAGATGATTTTATTTGATAAAGAGATGATTTTGAGCTGATAAAGAAAGATACTGGAAAAATATCTAACAAAACTGAGAATATTTTTTAATTATTATTTTTTAATCTTGATATGAGTTATCTTCTTCTTTTGATTAGGAGATTTTGCATCTGGTCATAGTCTTTTTGCAAAATTTGAGGGGTTTTCTGAGATCTGGGGAAAAGAGTTGGGATATTATTAATAAAAAAATTAAAATAAAATTTTGATTTATTAAAAAAGATAAAATTAATTCCAGTCTGTTGTGTGCAAGAATGAGTAGGACATGACTCAAAACTTAGCCAGTCCAAGCCAGCCCAGTCCAATGCTTCAAGGCCTATCTTAACCAATCCAAGCGAGCTCACCAAACGGGGCCTAAAGGAAAGCAAATCATGTACAATCAATTACATATAATTTGGTTAATCATTCAATCCCTAATGTATTGGGATTTAATTGACTTCTCAACACTCCCCCTCAAGTTGGAGAGTGAATATTGTGAACTCCCAACTCGCACACCATAGTCGAAAAATCTTATTTTCCCAAGGCCATATTGTGAACTCCCAACTTGCACACCATAGTTGAAAAATCTTCTTTTCCCAAGGCCTTTGTAAACACGTCTGCTACTTGCTATTGAGATGAAATATATCTTGTAATTACTATTTGATAAGTGCATTATTTCCTATATTTTTATACCTCTTATATTTGGTTTTTGTAGGAGAAGTTAATTAAAAAGAGCATTATTATCTTACTTTTCTTATTTTCAGCTATTCTACGATTTTGGAAGAATTTCGACTAAAAATCGACTTTTAGAATGAATTTTAGCGCAACGCCAATTGGAGAAGAAAGCTAAGACATTGAAGATCATTGTATCAAAGTTTCATGATTTTCTACCAAGCCAAATGCTCTAGACTTGCAAGTCAAGACAGCCTAAGTTGAAATCCAATAAGAACTACACTAATGTGGAAGATTGAAGATTTGAAGACCTTTCCAATTTTTCCTAGAGGCGTATGATTTATGCTTGGAAAGCTTAGAGATCAAGCTACAGTTCTCATATTTTCCTAGAATTTTCTAGGAACTGGAATGACCCCAAAAAGTCCGTGCAAGTTGGCTAACGTGTTTTCAAGTCAAAGAATGATTCTTTCCTAGTTTGTTTCCTTAATTTTTTGGGATTTTGTTTTGCTTTAGCAGAGTCTAGCCCTTATTAGAGTAAGGTTTAGTTGTTTTAAATTGTATAAGGTCACCCTAAGTGAAATTGGTACTCAGGTGACGAGGGGTAAATTTAAAAGATATTCAACCAAGAACGCAGCAAACTTCACGCACTCTAGACCTTGACCAAATACTCTTATGACTAGTCAACTGTCATATATGAATTATACCAAACAATAACATACACAGAGCATACCAAGATGTACCTGCAAGCCTAGAGAATTACTAGTGACAACCTAGGCACTCAGAAGGACCCGTCAATCTAGGCATCCCCTGTGCTAGCAACAACTATGGTGAAAGTGTGTAAAGACAGCATAATCAAGCAAACACCAAACAGCAGAAAAAGATGACTAGTCAACCACACAAACTCAGATGACTAGTCAACTATCAAGAACACAAACCCAGAAAATTTACAGAGTTGGAAACCAGAAACTGTTCACCCAGAAACCCACCATTGGGAAAAACTGGGGGTCATTAACCGACCAGGCAATCCACTAAGTAGAAAAAGATTCTTACAAAGGAGCACAAGCAAGCTCAAGAAAAACCTATATCTATTTAGGAAGATGAGCTATACCTCCTTTGTGCAATCTTCTTCTCCAACTTAGCAAAGCTTGAAGCTCAGTTCTTCATGGCAATGGCAGCTGCTTCTCCAGCTCGTTCATCCCATGGCACTAGCTTGCAAGCTCCAACACAAACCGAAACCAAAATTTGGATTCAAAGGAGAATGACCAATTTCTTCAAGAAACCATACTCTTGAAGAAATCAGTCTTGAATCTGACCTAGATATAAATGAGAGAATGATTTAAGTAGCTAGATGCAGATTCATGTTTCAAATGCTGTTTTTCAAAAAGAAATCAATTGGAAAAACTCATAGATGAAATATTTGGTTCTCTCTTGAGGAAGAAGAAGAGAAAGAAAGCAAGCCAATCTTTCCAAAACTTCCACCCAAAAGAAACCCAGCCAAATGACCAAAAACGTAGCCTTTACAGCCAAAAAATTCCTTAGGTCAGAAAACACATATGGCAGCAAAGAGAGAGAAAGAGGAATAGGACAAAACAGTTTGTTATCTAGCTGGAAATCCTACAGACCAAGGATGACTAGTCATCTGAGAAACGGATGACTAGTCATCATTTTTATGAAGACTGTTTTATGAAATGATATGCAATGCACAATACCTTTGTCAACTTGCTTGAACCTCCATAGAGCAGAAGTTAGAGAAGAGCACCAAGAAAGGTTTTCCTTAATCTAAACTTGAGCTTGATAAATAACAAAACACATCCTATTACAAAGTTGTCAAGGGAAGCCAAAAGAAAATAGTAAAAACCATACATTAACACTAAGCTCTCTCTATGGACCATCTTGATACCATATACTTTTTCACCATATTTCAATACACCCACAAATATATTAGAAAGAGAGCCAAAAGTAATTTCACAGCAATATATAATGCAACATAATGCAACCAAGTAATTTCACAGCAAGCACCTATCATTGCTCGATATTCAGCCTCAGCTGAAGAAAGAGATACTATTTTTTTTGTCTTTTTGTTCTCCATGAGATCAAAGAATTGCCAAGGAAAATGCAAGAGCCACTTATTGACCT